ATTTTTGCACGTAGAATTAGCCGTGGCAGCGACGGTCGAGGCGGGGAAATTTCTCAAGGAGAATGTTGCAGAGAAAAATCTCAAGGATAAGTCAAACTATCGCTCATGAATTTTATTTCCTGCTCGCACGACCTGCATCTAGTGTCACTCTTCCAGCTCTTATATTCCTTTCCCGGCCAAAGAATCGCATTTGCATAACATAAATGTACGGCTGTAAGGGTTGCACGACTAGAGAGGGGGGCCGGGTCGTCAAGAGGGTCTCGTCGGACAAACAGACAAACGGACAAGCACAAGCGAGGGCTTCTGCACGGTAAATCTTTGGATACGACTCTCGTCTAGCAGGTACTTTGCATTCGTTCCTTATTCCACCGCTCTTTTTGCAACAATCGCGTGCTTTCGGCTCGCGAGTGCTCGAATCTCATTGGAAACTTCGTTCCCGGCGTCGTCTTTTTACCTTCTCCTCGTGAAATTATTTTAAGCTCGGAACAAACAAGTCTCTTCTCTCTTTCTCGTCCACTTAATAACACCGTGTGTATCGTCGAGGATGGAAAATACTGGCTGGAAATTGTTTTCTTTCTGTCACGTAATCGCTTCAAGCTGTTTCTTGCGCTACACGAGATGACACGAAATCCACCTGCTGCTCCAGGATATTAGTATAAATTTTTGAAAACGAATAAAAGGATCGACTAATTATAATTCTCGTTTTGCTATAACAACTTTGGGTATTAACGTGTTCGTTGCCGCGTCAAGAATTCATAATTTCCTTCGAGGCTTTCTCTACATAAATTTTAACGAAAGACAATTGTCTCTCTAAAGAGAATAAAATTACGTTGATAACGACTACCTTTATCCATTTACGGTCTATAATTGTGTATACTCTGAAAGGTGGACAGAACGTTCGCGTACTCCATTCGAATTAAAATTATCTATTCAACTGTTCCGAGTGCGGCGGACAATCTTACGACTGTACGCCATTCATTCTCGAAACGAAGAAACATGGCCACGTGCAAAATTCACCCCAAGAAATATTTCCTGAATTTTCTTCCTATTTATTCCATGTACATAATTCGGCCGGGCAGAATGTAGAAGATTTTTATCGCGGTAACGTCTCGAATATCTTTATCGTTCGTTTACTGGGAACAAATAATCGGATAACAAAATGACGACTGGTGGGAAAAAAAACCTATTAAAAGCTACCCTACGCCCCAGGGGGTGGTTGTTTGCTGAATTTTAATGCACGGCGATTTAACGTATTAGTATTCGCGTCACGATAACGAAAGACTTAGCCGGCATTCATTTGATTTATATCTACGAAACGTACGACCATGACGGCCACGATGGAATTGTTTTATGAAAATGAACGAAGGGTCGTGGCGCGTTAAAAATAAACACGACGACGGGAAGGCAAAAAGTGTACGTGCCCTGTTATTTTACTACATAATGGGGATATTTTAAAAGATTCAATTATCCTTAATAAAAACGTATTACGCGTTGATTAGCATCGTTACCGACACGACGAAAAATCGTGTTCGCTTTCCAAAGGGAAACACCCTTTTCTATAGCGCGTAATAAGACTCTTATAAAACGCGGAGTGCTTGTTGTTCATTAAATTCGAATACACCGTGCAATGACAAAGAAATTTAATTAAATGAAAACGAACATTCGAACGATCTATCGTTCGAGCTTCGAGCATACGCGCAAACTCGATTAATTAAACGGAAATATACGTACAAAGCATTAAAACAGAAATAAAAAGTATATCTCGTGAAACGACGCGAAACGAGAATATAGAAATTTTATTTGGTTCGAACGAACCAATTATTAATACAGAAATGGAATTTAACGAATCTGCAAACTTTCAGCAATATCTTGTTATGAAAAAGTCTTTGAATTTATTAAAGTATAGAATTATGAACCGAATAAATTTTCCAATATGTCGTTCGTACTCTGCTTTTTATTACAATTAATGATATAGATTTCATCAATTTTAGTTCCTCTTTGACAGTCTCATTCGCGCTATTCTTTCGTCCAATTTTTCGGAAATCTATCGGCATTTCGCCGCAAACACGTTCATTTACACCGGCCGTCTCGTCCAAAGAACCGAAGAGGAACCTTAATTCTGATTGATCGCCACTTCTTGTTCAGCGTGTCACGCTTCCTCTGCCGGGCACAAACTTCGAAAAGTTCAAGGTACATAGATCCTGCGGACTAGGATGGTAAAGGCTAGAGGGACGCGATGTAACTCAGGAACAATTTCCACCGAGCGACAAGCAACTCCACTTTTCGATTCGACCCTCGTACGGACCGTTCATTAGACCCTTCGTACACGTTTGGGTCCGAAGTTACGTAATACGTGGAAACTCTTTCTACGAGCCCGGTTACAGGACCGACCGCAAAAAAAAACAGGCCTAGCTATTTAACCGGGGCTCATTTGCGGTGTTACGATAACCACGTGTCTATTCTATCCAAGGACAATTTTCTCTTTCTAACGCGAAGATTTTGTTCGATACGCAAAGAAAATTACTCGAAATACTTCGCCTATAAACGAATGAAAAGAGAGGAGAGGGGAGAACAAAGTTCACCGGCACCGAACAAATATACTTTCGAATAATGATTACGGTGTAACGTTGATTGCAATGCCATTCATGGTGAATAGCAAATATGCTCATAGCGAAACGATTATTGGTAACGAGAAAATTTACACGGACAACCGCTAGTTTCGAGTGGATGAACATCGCCAGTTAAAATGACGCCACTATTCGCGCTATACATCCAGATAGAAACGAGCATACACGACCTGGAACTAATGCGACCGCAAATTTGTACAAGTTGAAACGGCACCGTGGACGAATTTATGTTTAGAAAGCGGGTATATAATTAATAATAAGCCCGCGAGCGTTCGCTGTGCACTTCCTATTCCATCTCTACGCAAATCCTGTCGAATAACACAACCAAAGTAAGGAGGAGCATCATTTTCGAATAATTCAAGTGTCGGTACCGATTCAACAGCTTCAAATTCAAGGAAAATTCTTCTTTTTCAAGTTACTAAATCCTCAGCACCGATTACTATACAAATTTTGTACGAAATTAATTTTCTTCTTTCGTCGATAGAACTTTATCCCGTGATACGTTTAAATACTTATTACGCGACGTATTAAAAACAGACTTTGTACAGTTTATATATAGTCACAAGCAGGGTTATAGAAGCGAAAAATTCTCAGAGTTGGCAATATACTGGTTGGGTGTAAAAGTTTCGTTTAACATGGTGGTAGGGTATTAATGCGAACAACAAGATTTTCCAAATCCAAAGACATAGAAATCGTTCTATAGAAAGGAGTACGCATGGTTTCGAAATAGTCGAAATTACGACTCGTATGGTATGCTACTGGCTAAAATTTCACGCATCAATTCCAAATGTTTCCGAATGTGTTTCGCCAAGAGCATAGTTTCATCGCTAGGAAAGAGAGGGGTATAGTTCTGCAGAGGCAATAAAGACCACGGTATTGTAGCACGATAGGGGAATTATATTCCGGTTCATGGCATAACAGAAATTGCAAACAGTGTAGAGAGACGTTTCAGATGATTCTAAACGGTAACTGTACACCGACTGCGGTACACTTTATTCCTCGTGAATACCAAGAAATACAGGAAACAACGAGCGCGCTTAAGAATATCCGTACTATCAGTTATAACACGAGATATCGTGGGCTTTTAGTAAAATTTGATATCGCTAATTAAACTGCCTTATAAGGCGGTCCCTTAAGCAATATTACCGAATAAACTTTCTCTTTCGATTAATGGTTATTAGTCGACATGTCTTAAAAGTTATTACACCAAATAACAATTTGGTTAAAATTCGAAATTCTACCGAATTATAGTACGCTGCTGATGTACCTTTTCCCAGTTACGATAAAATATAAGCTACGTAGAAGCAATGTAGATTACATCTAGAAAATCAAGTATTGATTGTGTGTGCTGATGGGAAGAAGGGAAGTGCCAACTCAGCTTCGCTTTTCGCCTACACGAGCAAAACAAATTGTCCTATGACATCCTCCAAGGTTAGATATACTTTTCAAGGATCCCTCGATACTAAGGTACATCGAACCACGCGCAATCAACAATCTTCGTCGATGAAACTTACCTACTACGCTACATCTTATTCGGGGTAAGCAAAAAGGCTGTAACGACCGTTCGAGTGCTTCCAATGTTTACATTAAACGAGAGAATACTTAAGCAGGCTCAACTTGATCTAGAACAACCCCCTTCCTCGCAATTTTCATTGTTTTACTATAAAAATGATACCATAGAAACGTTGTAAGCTAATGAAAGAAAGCTTTCATCGCGAATAAATTATTTATAATCCACCCCGATAAAACTACTTGACACTTCGCACATATTCGTGCTCGGAAATCGAGAATGAAGAGGAAAGGACCTTTAAAAGGACTTTCTTTCGAAGCATCGAAATAATAGGAAAATTGTTTATCCATCCCATGACAGACGTCACGACAATGGAATTATGGGAAGCAGAACCGTGCATAGAACACGATAAAAGAACGGAAAAGGAGGAGAAACAATGAAAACGAAGGATGTGTACGGTACGCGATCCATTCATTTCTAACGTGTCGCTGCGGATAAGCCGCGGCGCGTCCTTGGTTACATCTCGAGAATCGGGTATCGATTGCTTCTCTCGCGCGCCGATAAAAAAACGAGGGAAAGAAAAGAAAACAGACTCGTCGCTGGAGCTTGTGCTCCTAGCAAGACAAACATGTTGCTACCAACTTTCACCCCTTTACTCTGCCCTCGAACCCCGTGGCTTTTCTTACCATCGAACTCGAACACGATACACGACGTTAACAAAACAACAACGACAATATCGAACGATAAAGCGACGCGTTCGTCGTACAAAAATGACGGATACAAACACTGTGGTACGGTTATAAAAGACGACGAGGGACGCTCGACAAATTGTCGAAAAAGTGTAAAGAAATTGATCGACTCACCACTTGGTAGGCGACGGTGTTGTCAAGAATCGGCAGGGGAGTGGTTGGTAGACACGGCTGAATCGATGGCAAATAGTTGTCGTCGGCACTGAATCAGGGATCAGCTGATCAAGGAATGACGAATAGATGATCCGTTACTCGTAAGCCAAACGAAAATACGTAAACGAACACGACAACCTTCACCGAACGAAGGTGCGCGGACGACTAACTGGCGCGACCGTTACGGGGTGTAGCTGTGCGCTGATTCTACCCCTATCCCCACCATCGACCCACTCCCCCTCCTACAGCTCGACACCGAACTCCTTCCATCTTTCTCTGTCTCGTTTTCGACCCTGGCTATCTATTTTCCTTCGTTCACCCTTTACTTTCTACTACGGCTCCAACTATCGATATCCTTACCGATAAATATCGATAATATCGGGATCTTATGGACCGTCCGATATATCGATAACATCGTTGACGTATCGATTACGCCAACAGAGTCAGAGACGATCAACGCAGTAATAAATTTCTAATTTCCTTTTAGTAAATCCTTACATTCGAAGATTCGTAAATATTTCTCGATAATTCTTTGCGCAATTTTCTTTCTTTGACTTATTTTCTTTTGTCGTTCATACATCTCACAACTTTTCCTTTTATTTCTTCACTCGTTATTTTGTCCCTACCTTTTCACCGATCTTTCTTCCCTTTTTCCTTACATCGTTTGTACATCTTTCCTCGTCTTATTTTACTCTACGCTCGGTCATTTTGCACCCTCTACTCTCTCATCCATTAACGGTTACTTCGTCTCGTCGTAAGGTTTCGCTCGGTTTTCCTTTGTGTTTAGCCGCCTTTACTTCGATTATAATTTTCCTCCTCGATACAATTCCCGTTCACTTTTGTCTGTTTTCTATCAATGGATTTTGCGTTACTTTCGAGAGCCTTCTATTTTCCTTTCGATCCCAAAGAAAAGTGCCAGTAGTACCGCGTTCGTGGTAGACGAACTTTAACGGTGAAAATAAAGCGAAGATAAAAAGAGTAGAAAAGAAGATGCTGGAACGAGTATAATCGTATTCGAAAGAGGAAGGAAGAGGTGCAAATAAGGCAGGAGCGAAAGAGGGACAAAGGGTCCACCCGAGGGTAGAAGAACCAGCGATTTATTGGATCTCGGAGACCAACGATCTCACCTGTATATCTAAAGAAAAGTTCGGTAGAATCGGAGACGAGATACTTTTGATCGTCGACTGTGTTGAGAAAGGAGAGGAAACGTGACAGGGAAGAAAGGAAATTGGAAATGGGAGCGAAAAGCAAACCTTCTTCGTGGATTAGTATCAATCAATTCATATTTTAAATGATGTACATCCGCATTTCCAACACGATTCGCATATTTTCTCGACAGATTCGTATTAAAGATGCTTCTGTAATCGAAAAGAATTGCTACGCATAAAAAAAATATATAAATCGATAGGTACTGCAGAACGTTTTCGATCAAACATTTATCGTATTTCTATCGATAACGGAGATTATTAAAACGATCGAGTTAGATGATCTCGCGTATCGCGAAACATTCCGTATTTACGAGTAACTTTGTTGCTTTCAATCGCAAACGCGATCCTACACGAAACCCATCTAAAGCCGTCTCGGGCGCAAAGGAGTACTCTCGAAAAGGAGTACTTTCAACGACGCGACAAATGCACCATCATCAGGTCAAGCATCTAAACGCTCGAAATCGACGGTTTCCGCGCAGCGAAGGCGTTGACGGCTACTGCGGCGACTACGACGACGATGAGGATTCCAATAGCGATCTTCTACGCAACGTTCCAAGCAGCAGCTTTTCAATTTGCCAAGGAAATAATTTACACTTTCCGCCCAACCGGTTCCGCGGGGAAATTTATTGTGAATATGCATGCGCCGTTTATGAATATGAATACCGGGTAAATTATTATGCGTCTCTGGGCCCACGGTACGAGAAGAAAGTTGGACGAAGAGCTATCGTGCCAACTGGAAACGTTCGTCCAGATAAGAGTCTCGTAACGTTCTCTCAACGGCAACGACACTTTTCCTTCCCGTTCCAACATCGTGTGCCCGAGAGGAAACTTTCTCAAAGTACGTTGAATCAGCCTAGGAACGTATCTGTCTCGAAGTATCTTACACCGGATCGATTTCTCCCGCTGCTTGCTTTCGTTCGCCCAGGAAACGAGTTGGCTTGCTGCACACGTTGATGCACCGCTGCTACGAGAATACGGAAGAGCACGTACCGTGACTCGTACAAGTATTCGCATGCTCTTAATTAGCCAGTGAACGTGCATGACACTTCTTCGATAGGAATCATGCGAATGTTTCGTGGAAATTTCTGAACATTTGTCCCGGCTAGATCTAAGAGGAGCTTACGGAGCTTAGGGATAGGAGATTGTGTCTAATTTAAATGGCCGGCTATGCGTAAGTTATGCGCGGGTAGTAAAATCCCTTACATCCCCATTTTCCCTAAGGAAGCGTTCGCCGGTACATCGATCGTTCTGGCCCACTTCGTACGTGGTCATTGTATCGAATTTCCTACAAGATCGGCGTGACTCTAATTTAAACCTACATTTACTCCGCGTTCAGTATGCTAATCGGAAATGTGTAAATACTTGTGCTACTCGGTGTATATCGTAACGAAGCGGCTCTCTCGTCCGTGCATCGAACGCTATAACTTTCGGGGTCACTCGTGACAAGCGGGTTAACAATGATTTAACGCGTTGGCTGGGTGAGCTCGCTCGAGAGCAACCGGAAGGAACATCAGGCTCGTAACGTCCGATAAAGTTCTATCAAACGAATCTGGAGACGAAACCGCGTTCGGTTGACGCGAAACGAGGAACGGAACATCTCTCGCGGGCAATCTCGCGAAGCGTTCGTTTTTAATAAGCGAAATAAAGCGATCGCGAAGACGGTGCGCCGGATGGAATACTTTAATTTCTGGGTCACTTGCTCGCTGCTGGCTACGTCGTCTGTGATTTAGTGCAAGAGAAAACGGGTGCTGTTGCCGGGACAAGGATGAAGGCTCGAGACACGAATTATGGGATAAACACCGAGCGAAATCTGGCTGGTGACTCCCGTGTTTTCCTTTGCCATCGTTGAGAAAAATTCCGTTATCTTCTACGGGCTGAAAGAAAATTCTTTCTCCGCTTTTTCTTTCGCTCGTTGTTTCGTTAATGGCTATTAACCCCTCCGAGAACAGACAGTCATAAAGCTGCTCAAGGATAAGGTAACGTAACACGTATTCGCTTCTTTTTCCTACTATTTATCGTTTGCGAACGCGAATTTTTACGTTCTTCTCCGCCACTGAATGGATCCAGCGCCGGGCCAGAGGTGGGAGGTTAAAGATTGAACTCGAAATTTGTGCACGATGGTTTCCATCGACTGCAAATTTATCGCGTGTACGTGATTAACTTCTCGGATATTTGTCGGACGTAGCGTACAGTTTCAATCGCGATTCGTTGCTCGTAATTTGATTTCGCCGCGATTGAAATGAACTAATGCTACGCAACGGAAAACGGGTATTACAGATTATACGAGACACACTGTCACGCGTATGTTTATCGCTGGCCAATTACGAAATTTATCAACTGCCACGCGATCCAAATGCTGATCGAATTCACACACGCGTTTGTGGTCTATGCGTTTCGATCGACTACTTAATTGCTCAAAAATTCTACAATTTATACGAAAATCTTTGATCATAGATTTGTCCAAAGTAATCTTACGATTAACGAAAATAAGAAATATTTTTAAATTTGTCAATCTATTAATTAATAGAAAACTAACTTTACGCTACCTATGAGGCGAACTAACTTTTGCGATATACATTACGCGTTAATCCTTTCATTATCGAGGATAACTATACCCAGCTGCGAAGCGTCCAGGTTTCAAACAATTAAAAGTAAAAGTACCATAGGTCGGAAGCACCTCGCTGCAAATCAAATTTTACGAACAAACTTATCTTATTTCCGTCCATATGCACATTATTTGATATATGAACGTCCAAAAGCGTGTTCCACCGGAAATTACTGTCGATCAAAGTGTTAGATATAACACTTTGATGAAAGAGAAAAATGCATCATCGATTCAACCCGTTATTTCGATCGAATCGACGAGAGAAAAAGAAAGCAACGAAACAAGCGTGAGTTGCAGAAAGTAGATATTTGTCTGAAATTATGGCGGAATAATTTGCCGCGCGAATAGAAAAAGTGGATCAGCGTAAAGATGGTCGGACCACGTTCAAAAATAGACCGGTCCACTATCTCGGCTACTCATCTCGCCGGTTTCGTGTCACTGTCCTCGTTATTTATTCATCGTACACCGACCATCGTCTTGCTGTGGTCCATTCTGTGACGTCACGCTGACCCTTAAACCGCCGACGACCAGCTGGACGATTCGAGCCTCGGTCGATTCGACGTTCGAGCTTCTTAAGGAATTTCCTTTGGCTGGAGAATCGAATACGAAACGATTTCCGAAATCTCGACGGTGTACTTATCCAGCGGACAGAAAGAAAAGGAAACGGTCGAAAGAATCGTAAGATTATTTAGAAAAATCTTACGAAGAACTTAGAAGCGGAAAATGTCGAGCACGAAACTCGTCCCCGCTCGCCTCTGTTCCCGTTTTGAATCGAATCAATTTATCTTGGTAACCACTTGGTATTCGCCCCGTGTCTCGTCGCGTGTTTCCACTTTGAAAATTTAAACGTCACTAGGACGCCTGCACGTTGGACCAACAATGAAGATGAAATCTCGTTCCTTTGCCTCGTTCGCTTGCAGGGTGCTGACTTTTTCACTATCTGATTTATTAATTTGCAATTTCGCCGTGCTGAAACCGGCGCAGTTTTGGCACAGCCGGGTCTCGCGTTTCTGGTTCCGGATACGGGGCGAACGTACCAATCAACGGCGTGAAGCGTGCTCGTCCGGTGACATTAATTTGCCTGCAATTAGAGCGAAATTTCAGGGCAAAGGGTCGCCACGTCGCGCCTCCAAATGAAACGGCAGCGGAACGCGAAAGCACCGACACAATGGGACATAATGAAACGGTCCTCCGCTTCCGTAAGCTATCGAGTCGAGCCAGGAAAAAAAAACATTTTTACTGCCTCGTTGCTGGCAAGAACTGTTGACGAAGCTGGTGTCGCGACGGTACTCCGGATTTTCTCCTATCGAGAGTGATATCGATCACTATGCAGATGCGTTAGAATTCCTCGTGCGATAAAATGTGATTTTCAGCCGATTTCGATAAGCTTCGAATAGCTGGCTCGATAAACGAATAAGCGTAATTTCAGAGAAAAGCCGAGATTCCAAGTAAAATTAAGCGTATACCGTCTCGATCAGCGATCGAAATACTAAAATTTCGATTTAGCGACTAATCAGTAACTAGTACTGAACTAGTAGTAAATTGCTACTCTGTCCCACTCAATATGCTAACGAAGTTTGTAACAAGCGACATCGTTGAAAAGTTCTCGAAAAAATACATACTGTCCCCGACGACGAGTAGTAGAACGATGGGTCTGTCCTTTTAAATATTTCTATTCATTTAACTTAACGCGCGATACAATGCAAATTCTGTAAAGTTAGACGAGAAAGTAATGAAGTCGCAAATTATATGCAGAACGAGGTGGAAGTTGGACCGACCGGAATTAGCGAGGTTCCCTTTTGCATCAACGGGAACGAGTTCCCGGATGTCTTTGGACCGGTTCGACCAACCATCCCATCCTACGAATTAATTATTCACCGGAAGGATCTGCAAAAACCGAGTGTCTATCTTTATAATCTTACCCTCGTTCGACGGTAATTTATTATCGGTTGTCGCTGCCAGCGCACTTTTCCTCCTGATATTGCAATTATGAAAATTAATACGAGTCATCGGTGAACGTTTTCTCTTATCGTAACGGACGTTCGTTTAATGAAAATCGTTGTTGGAAAATCAGTGGACCAAAGTGGACGAAACGAATTCAATTTCGGAAGAATTACTTCTGGCATATTCCGTCGGAAGTGTACGTCTCGTTAGAAAGTTAAGCATTCAAATTACGAATACTTAGTTAGGCGTAATGAAGGGTTCAATTTTCAAAATTTAATTGAACAAACGCGAATGGAATAAAATTATAAACGATAAAAAGGAAGCAAGGAAAGATGGGTATACGGATGAAAAACGGTATCTCGTACTTTCAGAGAAGATATCTCGAAGGAAGCAAAAAAAAAAATGTATAACATCCCTGTCGATATTGATTTATTAGAAGGGGTGAGTATTCGTGAACTTCAACTTCGTTCAGGACTGGTCAACGCCGCCTGAATACTATCGGAACAGTTGATGATAAATGACTACTGATATCCAAAGGCTATCGTTCTTCTGGAAAATTTTCAAAATATCAACGATACTATCGCTGGTTTTGTCGATAAACGAAAATAATAACTCGTGATATTACTGTCCGAACAAAGCTTTTATCCGATTTTTAGCGGGTTACGTAACGTTATGTTTTATTCTATTAAAGAAAAGAAAAAGTACAGACTCGAAAGAGACGTGACTCATAGAAAAATGCTACACGATAGAAATATAACCCGAAGAAAATAATGTACGAAGAGGATGATACGAGAACGAAAAGAGAACTCCAGACACGAATTCGCGTAGGAAACATGGCGCTCGTCTCGTTCTCATTTTCTTAGATTGTGCAGTGTGGTTTATCCCGGCCACCGAGGGGTGAACTCACACCGTCGCAACTCGACCGGAGATGGAAGAAATCGAAGGGCGTCACGTTGTAATTTCCGGTACACCCGTTCCAAACGTAACAGCTTGAAAAACAAGAAAGCACAGAGAGACAACAAATTCTCGATTGTTTCGTTCTCTGTCGGCCTGATCGGCTCCATTATTACTCCGTTCGATCTGTTCCCTTCGTTATCTAAAATCACGATCGTACTGGAAAAAGCTATCCGAGATTTCCTCGGAAACATTCTGAAAACATTCGTTCGAAGCTAGCTGTAATTTAAATTGATTTAAACAAAAATGTTTGATTCTACGATATCGAGTACAACTAATACGCGTATATTAAATTTAAAAATATCAATTTTTGGACACGAGCAGTACAAAAATTCATAAACATCACTTCCATAATGCCGGTTAAAGTTTGAAAATCCTTTAAAAAATGGCTCCAGTTCGTGACTGAGGGTGTCTGTACGAACATTTCCAACAAACGGCCGTAATATATCAAGCCGTGCAAGATACAGGGTCTTTGAGTTTCCGGCAGAGAAAGGTTCGGCAAGAGAATTTCAAATAACAATGGATTCATCTGAACACGTCAAAATACTCCTAAGTTAGTGTCTTGATACTTGCACCGTCAAGTTGCTGCAATTTTCTTTTCAGAGGAGAATAGTAGACAAACCAAGAACCAACATTCAGAAAATATAGATTGACCTATTTAGAAATTTCAACTCGAAAGCTATAATCATTCCGTAATTAATGGTGCATCGAAAGATGCAATTGTTCAGCATAAGGAAGACTACTTTCCGGAAATCATTAAAAGCAGTTTGGTAGCGAGGTCCGATTCGTAATTAGATTTTCCCTCGGTACTTCCCAGAAATACATTCGACCATTCGAAACGTGCACAGGGTCCTCGCGTTGCACCGGACTAATTAGCGTCGCGTGACACCGCCTTTGATCCTCCTAAATTAATAATGGCACGGTGCCACCCTCTTTCACCGACAACGAATTCAATTCCACCCTTTTGTCTCTTTTTGTTCGTGACGTCGCGTATCCACGCGTGCACTCTTTTCGACGATCCTCCCGAGGGACTGGCTCATATACCACGACATTTTTCTATTTTCTTCGCTTCAACTATGTCCATCCAGGTTTTACTTTTTTTTCTTTCTTTCGTGCTCAAAGCACGCCGTTTCCTTCGAAACGTTCCCTCGGCTGATCCGACACAGACAACTTCCGGCGGATGCGATCGATCGCGTCGACTTTTTGCCTTCCGGCCAAATCTAATTGACCCACGTGTTTCGAAGTCGAGAAGAATTCTGCCGACCATTTGTTGCATTCTATTAGTACATTTTCAAATTGATTCTCCGTTTTAACAACGCGTTGCGAACGTAAAGATTTCGTTATTTCGAGCCGATTCGAAAGCAAACTGTGAATAGCATGATGGAAAAGAGGAACGATGCGAAGCTGGAGGTGTTAATAAAAAAGGGCGCGACAACATCTGGCTTGCACTTCGTCCGAATAAAACGGCAACGTACACGTTTTTTCCGTGCCTCGTGTCGGCACGTTTCGTATGCACCCGGAAAGCACGTTTCTTCTCACGATTCCTCTGGTCTTCTCTTCCCTTTTTCTACTGCCTTTGACACAACGCCGCGGGTCACCTGGAAAAAGAAGCGGAGCAGCTAAGAAATGAATTCCAACCACAAACGAGAACATTTGTTTACCGAGATCTTCCTCCATTATCCCTTTGCGAGGATCGCATTTTCGGCATGCGAGAACGCTTACATTTATCCGGAACACCGCGCCATTTTGAAGACCGACCCGATCGAAAGCTTAAATACAGCTTTTTGTACGACGCACGAGTTAACCGACCAAGCTGCGTTCATTTCTTCTAAATAGATTCTCTTGGAAATTCTTTGAGCATTTCTGATGAAAGAAGTTGTAATCGGAGAATCAACGAAATTCATTTATCGTCGCTTTAACGCACTGTACCGTTGTATTTTGTTTGCGACTGTACTTTAGCTCCGTTTTACCTTTATTTTATTATACGAGACTATTGTTGCTTTATTTCTTCCTCGGCTGTGTTAAGTCCATTTACTTTTACCTGCTCGTACTATACATTTACGTTCGAAACTTGTAACATGAATCAAAAATATACGAGTTTATCGGCAATCTGATAATTAATTTGAAAACGCGTTAAATCGTATAACACCGGCTAAAAAAGAGTCCAAACTGGACACATTTTACCGTCGTCCAACGCGAAACGAGACCGTCCGTCGTTAGTAGAGCGTGACTACGTCGCAAGAGTGCTAAGAGAACAAAGTAAAAAAAAGAGAAAAAAATGAGAGACAAAAAAGGAAGAAGAAGGCGGTTGAGGAATAGAGGGCGAGAAAAAATGGATGGCACGTTGCTGCAACCTCCTCGTCCCTATTTTTCATTTTTCAACCACCGTCACCCGCCTCGTCTAGCCGTCGTTTGTCGAAGAAAAACAGAGATCAAGAAGAGTCAGGCTGAATGGCTAGAAGCGTCTAGCGCGTTTCTTTCGTCTCGATTAATTTTTATTTCTGTCCGTTTCTGCTCGCGCTACGCCGTTTCTAACGATCGGACCAACAGAATTAATAATACAAGGGGCCATACGTAGCACAGGTGGGTCGATATAATCATTTATTTACTTTAATTAATTAATCATATTAAATTACTGGTACGATGCTGGAGTACGTGTTTACAAGCCCGGTATTAATGGTGATTAATATTGCATAATGTTCATAACAAATTTTTTTACCGCGATAAATCACCGATTAATCAACTACTCCATTAATTAAAAGGAACACAGCCCCGTGTTGTAAATAAAGTATGCGGTATCTTTATAATACCGTAATGCCATCTGTTATCAAGAACTCTGAACTACTGAAACTTTGATAACCGATGACAGATAAGACTGAAAAAGAGATCGAATCCTGAACAACGTCTGATCGAAAAATTCGTAATTAATAAGTGAAACAGAAGGAGCAAATTTGTAACGGGTTTACGATTCTATAAGAAAATGAATAGAATACGCAACACCCTAAAGGGTGCGTTAACGCTGTTGTAAAAGATTTTATTGCTTAAAACACTGTCTTACTTTATGGTACAAATGGCCTATAAAAATTACGTATCGTTATATCATTACGTAAAATACGTGTCTTAAGAATTAATTGCATTGTCAAAAATAGCACCATGGATAAACGTTAAAAAATATATCAAATAGTAATAAAAAGATATCCATCAAATCCTAACCCGTTGTTTTTTTCATATTTTTTGCTTTTTCGATGTTTACGTTCGTCGCATTAAATTCTAGGTCATCGTTCGGAAACGATAAAGGTCTCTGTTCGATGCGACGAGAAAAGTATATCATCGACGTAATGCAACATCGTGTAAAATATCCATATAAAAATATCGATTGCACGCGTGATTGTTTGCCAATTAGCGTAATTAACGCTTCCTCTTCCGTGTCTCGAATAACAGTCACACGATTCACGACCGATCGACTTTTCAACGAATGGCACTTATAACCATGTTATCGATGTTGTCGCTACTCTTGTTGCGATTGTTAACGCGTGAACTGTTAATCAAGGTCTGACTCTTGAAATTGATCTGTTCTAAAGGAAACGCGCATTAAGATACGTTTATTATGTAAACTTATTCTTCAAATGCGTTCGCAGGATCTTTCCGCTCGCGCTGATCGGTATGTTATCCACGAATGTGACTCCTCCTGAAATAACAAATTTATTACTCGATCGTTTATGATCAGTTAGCAATTATTAAGATCGTGAGAGATTCACGAAAATCGATACGATATCGAGGAAAAATTGATGTGTCCGATTGAAAGGGTTAAAATGAAGCAAAGAACAAAGCAGTGTTCTACCTCGAAGCTGCTTGTGCTCGGAAACTTTTCCCTTCACGAAATTCTGGATATCCTCGGCGGTCAGTTTCGCGTTCTTCGCAGGCAATATGAAAGCTTTTGGCACTTCACCGCACCTTTCGTCCGGAATACCAACCACAGCCGCTTCCTGTACTTGCGGATGCATTCTTAACAACGCCTCCAGTTCCGCCGGTGCTACCTGTAAAACAGATTTAGCCATTTTGGACGCTCACTCTTCGAAACGATTAAATTTTACGTAAATAATTTTCCATAACCACGATAAATATGAACCATCTATCAGATAAATGATCAAGATTAGAAGCCAGATTTCGAGTAGCGTACAATTATAGTCACGCAAAGGTCACTTAAAGAATCAATTAAGTTACGCCGATAATGGAAGATGAATGAACGACAGCTAACGCGTAAAAGCGGAAGTTCTTTCCTCTTACCTGGAACCCTTTAACTTTGATCAACTCTTTCAATCTGTCCGTGACAAAGAAATCGAAATCCTTGTCATAGTAAGCTATATCCCCGGTTCTCAGCCAGCCGTTCTCGACAATTATCTCCCTGGTGGCGTTTTCGTTATTTAAGTACCCTTTCATAACGTGAGGACCCCTCACCCAGATTTCACCGGTTTGTTCGGGACTAGATATATCTACGTTGGTAATCGGATCGACTAATCGCAAATCGCACACGGCTACATTCTTTCCGACGCTGCCTGCCTTCAGTCCGGTTGTTTCCATGCATATGACCGGCGCGGTCTCCGTCATCCCGTATCCTTGACAATTCGACCGTTCAAATTACGCTTCGAAAACGTCGTGTACTAAAAGTATTATTGCCACACTTACCTTGACAGAATTTCAATTTACTAGAATCTATTTGGAATTTCTCGTAGAATCTTTCGACATCTGGATCCGATAAGGGTGCTGCTCCACTGATTATGTGATGAATGCTCTCCAAATATTCCCTCTTAATAAACGGAGATGCGTTTAAAAATAAAAGTATCGGTGGCACAACGAACAGACCTGTCGTCTATAAATTAAACACTGGATTAAAACACTTTCGATGCTTTTTTTCTTAGAGATAATTTACAATCGTTTACCCGGTGTTTGGCTAAAGTGGTAGTAAATAGTTCGGGTGTGAATTTAGGGATAGTGATTATTTTCGTGCCCTCTGCGAGACGGGGCAAAACAGCAACGTTCATTCCGAATATATGGAAGAACGGTAATACCATAGGCAACACCTCTTGGAAGTCGTCTGCGAATTAAATATATGACACGTTAATTTAATGGTAATGGTAATGAGGCAAATTTAATTACACAGTCGTTGACAATCAAAACGCGTTAAATTAACGAAGATTGCCGGCTAATCGCTGCCACCAAATAAATACTATTACCGCAGGTTAACAACTATCGTTATGAAGCGACCTATAATCCCTGCTCACCTGTCGCCGAATCCCACAATACTCCTTTTGACGTATGCTCCACCATTTCCATGTTGGATACAAGATTTCTGTGCGTTAACATAACACCCTTTGGTAAACCGGTTGTTCCACTGGAATACGGCAAGATCGTCACATCGTTAATGGATACTTGAGATTGCTTCAAAGGAGGCAGAGTTTTGCCACGCTCGATCAAATCCTGCAGAAATTCCATTAAATCGAATTGTTAACGAAACAGCTACATATTACTATTTTCATTTGGCTATCGATTACTCGGATACGAGTAATGGAACTTTTTTACGAGAAACTAAGCAAGAAGCGTGCTACCGAGATAACCTGAACAGTGTCGACTCTTCGAATCGTCGAACCGGATGATTCGTTAACCGGGTAACCACTTTATCAATTGAGTGAACCAGGCACGTTGATAAATTCTTTCTACCGAAGTTTAATATTTAAACAGATTCTTTCTTTCCAATGTTCACATTCGGGTACGCGAACTCGATTGTTGCAGCTCTTCTTCGTCAATTACTATAATATACTTCTCACCTTAAATGGTATAGTACCTTCCGGAATTGGTCCAGTACCATCATCGATAACTATGATGGGCGATCCAGGTGGAACAGCACCCTTGGCTGCTTCGAACGTGGATCGTGCAATTTCTGCCACGGTAATGACCGCTTTCGACCCAGAATCTTTCAATTGTCTCCTAATTTCATCTGCTCGAAACACGCGATCGGATAATTTCAAGCTGAATGCTATCTTTTTATTCATAACGTAACAATAGGACGTAAAAAGTAGTAACTTGCCAACGTCCAATGAAATTTTCGAATAATAATAATTGTCTATGTAAACACGAAGGTTCAATTAACTCACCAATTGTATAAAATGGATTCACAGTGGTCACAACGAGATCAGCCTCCAATGAGCCAAGAAACGATAGAATCGATTCTGGATAATTGGGTGCCACCAGGGCAATCACGTCGCCTTTCTTCAGGCCCATGTTCGACAAACTTCTCGCCACATAATTAGCTGCATCCCTCGATTCGCTGTACGTATACGTCCGTCCGGTTATCGAGCACACCTAAAACGATGTCGCATTAACGGTCACGTAATTTTACTACGAAAGAATTATGCGTTCGTCTGTTCTTTCTTTATTTCGTTCGTTTGCATATCGTTGTCGACAGTAGAAAGCGCGTTTACCTAATTTGTAGAAAAAAACCTGAATGTACGGAGACATAGTATACGAATGATTTGGCACGAAGCACAATTCGTAGGTAGAACGAGTAGCGTCGAAAAATAGGAGATCATTTACGGTAACGTTTGCTATGTCACGAATAGGGCCAAAAGAGCAAGGGATCTCTTGTTTGGTAATGCTTTCCGCGTATACGTGCACACGTCTGCACCGAGAGTGCGAGTCTCTTTGATCTCGTGACAACTGTTTGCTTAGTTGTCTAAAATTTAAACGGAACAGCCTAAGCTGTCGTACAGCGGACTTTTCGTGTCGCTTTAAAAACTTTAAAAACTTTAAAAACGATGCAATATATTACTGTATGGAAAGAAACGACGATCAATATTAAAAAATGCATTAGTAACGAATATTTCATTGTTTACTCGTACATGATTTTACTGCGAAAACCGATAACATGATTTTTGAATCACCGTGTACCTCCGCTAATGACCGTGAAAGTACTACTCATTCTGTTGTGCGTCATCCAGTTGAAAAAAGAGGTAATCACAAAGTCCGCGTACGTTCGATATAAGTACTATATTCGATTAAATATCGGTCGCCTGTAACGACTAGCGTGATTCTTCGTACTGTAAGAACAACTCGTACTATGCAAGCAGAATTAAGTATTCCTTCCGCTACATAGAATAGCTGCATGCGATTTCACGCCGACTGAAGTTTCTCAGAAAAAATTCTTGCAACGATATAAGTTAATATACGAATTTTCGAAAGACCGAAATTCGAAAATTATGATAACATTTCGATACGAGTTGTTCGAAAAAGATTTGATCGCGATTTCGATACGTTCAGTATGCGGTATACGTAGAACTTGTTACCAGAGCAGTCTTATTGGCGAATTTGTCGACGTTTTGCCATACGAACTCTTGAGTGCTCATCTCGGAAGGCGTGAATTCGCCATACGGCGACGAGATAATTTTTTTTCCGTTTTCATCCTTGATGATTTTTTGTCGTGCCTGGGTGGACGCGCATCTAGCAGACCGGTTTAAAAGTTTCACCCCACTCTCTTGTATTTGGCTGAGCCTTCGGGTGCAGCGGAGAATTTGCCTCACAGTCGTCATGCTTCCAACTTCTTCTTCCTCTTCGCTTCTTCCTTCCTTCTCTTCGTTGTGTCTATATACTCGCGTGTCTGTGATCCTAGCAATTCATTAAGGCAATTACGGTCCCTGAAAACCATACAATACCCGCTATCAGGTTAGCGCGCGCGAAAGCGGCTTTCTAGTTAGGCAGATAATGTGCCGTGCAATGTAAGCCAATAGGTCGTAAACATCGATGACAACAGCAACGAGGGAAAAAGAAGGGAAGCGTTTCCTCGATAACGCGGCGTATACGGTGTACCGGAAAATATCATAGAAAACGTTTCGACGGAGATAGAATTTTAACAGCAACATAAACAACGTTAATCGCGCCACGATAACACCTCTCCCACGATAGATAAGTTACGTTCGCGATGATTTTTCGTGGAAGCTCCGTTTGATACGATTCTTCCCAATAATTATGCCAAGGGCGATTCACCAGCGCAGATAACGAGCTGCAAACCGGTTAAAAATTATGTACATACACGGTTCGAAGAGAAGGCCGCGGCGCGGCGTTAAACGTATAGCGTTTATCGTCTGTGGAATGTTTGCATCGAATCTTTGCTAGTAGCACTAATCGTTGAGGAAGAATTGCTGGTCAATAAATAACAGTTCAAAGTACGATTCATCGAGTTATCGACGTTGACACACCTCGCTCGTTCGTATTATCTTGCTCGTAACGTAAATACAACGAATATAACGCGAAAGTGGTAAACGGATAGATAAAAATATACTTTGATCAGCCGTGCATAATTTAAACGAAATCATAGAAATTTGCGAGTTGCAAAGTTACGAGTTAAGGCAAGGCGACTCTTGTTTTATCTATTTATTTGCATTTATACAAGCGGCGTTAGGTTTGTCGCGCATGCGCGAGGAAATGCGTCTCCTCTCGCAACAGTGGGACGTTCACGGTTTATATAGGAGCAACGGCCTTTAAATAACGTTCTACGTAAATACGCTTTCACCGAAACGTACGTTCACTCCCAGCACCGGCTGGGACTTTATTCCGATGCCGGCAGCAAATGCGCGCTTTCGTTCTCGATTTCTGCAACCGGTCGGTCGCGATATCGTTCCTCCGCCGCGTTCATTCCCGTGTTATCTTGCTGTCGTGAATGAGAAAAGTATGCGAGAGGACTCTCGCGATAAACTCGTGAAACAATTGTATTCTGCAGTCAGACCTACGAGTATAAGGTCCACAGTTTCGGACGACCTCATGCAACGTAATATAATCGATGAATCGATCGAGATTCGATGTATCCGATTAACCGCGGCTAAAGAATAAAACTTGCCGACTCGTAAAATCGTCGACTCGATGACGGAATTTCGCGGTTTCCGTTCGCCGATCGATTTTTTCCGCACGATACCGGTAACCCGAGAGTGTAACCTGTTGCATTCGAAAGGCTGCGCGAAAAACCGGTCGTGTCGATAGAAAATCGTGGTAAACGGACGGGTGAAAGTGTACCGTCGCGTTTCGAAACGGTCAACCCGTGCGATCTTATTGAACAGATTCACCGTCGATCGGATCGATCTCTACTATTCGCGTACAAACGTATGAAAACGATTCGAACCTTTATATGAGATCTTCTCGAACGCGCTGCGCAAGATACGAGGCTAGGTCACGGATGATCGTTTTTGGTCGGTCCCGGACCTTCTGGCACGACAAAAACACCACAAGTTTCGGAATTCCACTAACGAAACCGACGAACCTCGCTCGCGTAACGGTTTTCACTGACAGACTACGGGATTCTCTGGCAAACCGTTTAACTTCAGCCAGCCTGTAGATACTGTTCCCCCACCGAACATGCTCGCTAGAGGAGGCGTATACAAGGTGCTCGAGAAGAGAGGATTTCGCATTCTCGAGGACGGCTTGGCTGGTTGGTTGGTTACGCGAAACGTCAACGATATACAAATTCACGTATCGCACGAATACTTGAATTGTTAATAACGATGTATCCGCGTACGCCTCTTTGAATTGACGTAAACGATCGAGATCGCGACCGATCGCCGGACACGAGCCTTGTTTGCGTTCGAACTGATTCGACAAAGAGGCGACCCGATTCAACTACACGACTCGCGTGCTCTTTTATCATACGCTCCTGAGTTAACCATAGAGCCTCGTTAAATGCAACCGCGTTCGAGTTATGTAATTGTAGCAGGCTGATTTTCCGATGCTCCTATTATATAATCGATGTCTGTTTTTCATCCGCGAATCGACCATTTTCGAGCTCAGAATAAACGTCGCATCGGTGAGGTATTTACGAGGGAAAAATTTTTACCGAATCTTTCGAATTACCGTACCACTTCTATCTCTAAACGAAAACGCGATACGCGCGCACTTTGTTTAAACAGCCAGCTCGATTGTTTTCCTTTTACCGATTCAGACAGAGCTATGTTTTAACTCTGCACGTATCAGTACTCGATTGCAGAGTTTGCTTTACCTGTAACATTTCTCTCCTTGCCATCTAGCGACAAAATTGATAACGCGCGGTATTATTGTTTGTCATCGGCACGATTCGAGAGCAACGTCTTCGAGAAAAGAGGACAACCCTTAAAGGGTTTTCAGGTTCGATCGGCATTTGAAAATTTATGCCGCACACGAGCTGTTTCGTTCTTACATCGAACGACCGTAGTGGCATTTGGTACCTAATGGTGGTCGTTTCATTGCAAACGATTCTAGTCACCCTTAGTAACGAAAGGGTTAATAGTCGATTAACTCCGCAGCGATCGCGTCTGTAAAAGTGGAACGAACAGGCTCGCGAATTACGAATATCATTCGTTCTAAGATATAGCAAATTCATCAGCTACGGGCACAAATTACCCCTTGACACTTTGACGATTAACGACGATCGCAGAAGCAGTAATTTATTTTTTCCATGCGAAAAGAATGTACCACCTGGACGTATATAACTATAAAAACAGAAAATAGATAAGAGAAAAACGGCAAAACTGATTTACTTGCTAACACGAATAACTAATGTTACGGGACCGTGCCATGCTTAAAACGCATCGTGACGTTCGTACCGATGGAAAAAATATTTTTCATGTAGTCGGTAACCGCATTTAACTGGTGAACTCGATTGCGCCCGGCACGTTTTCGAAGCGCCGAGACGCGTCGGCGCATCGTCATCGACGCCGACGCCGACTCCAACGTCTCGTGCAGGCCCGTACGATGAGCTACGCGAGGCACGAGTTGTGCCCGAAAAACTCGTAACGGAGAGGTGTAATATATTTATAAAACCTTGATTCGCTACTCCGGTCTGTCTTTTCTCGCTCGTGCCTATAAATTGATATTAATGCACGCGAACGACTCACTGTCGACGCGCATCGCCAAGTAGAAAAATAAACTTGGTTATTCGTTTTTTACGAAGAAATTAGTTTTCCGAATAAACGCTGCTCGCTCGAATATACTTCGATTCGTTGGTTCTCGCTAGGACCGAAATGATAAATTTCAATGGAAATTTGTGTCGTTTCGAATAATTGTTGTTTCGCGATATACTCGATTCGAATCGAGTACAATCGTCCGAGAAAATTCGGTAGATTCGAATTTCCTATAGTCTCTCGCGGCCTGTGAAAGTTGGACGTCGATGCACCCCTGATCGATTCATCCCTGGTAACGAAAGCTGACGACAACGACGCCATGTCGACGTTCATCCCTGTAGTTCGTCCTCGTTGCCACCCCCGTTACGTCCCCAGCTGACCGTGAATCCCGAGGAACACGCGTAAAGGATCTTCGTACCGCAACCAGGTTTCATCGCACCAGGTCACTCTCGCTAGACGAATCTGGGCTATGAATGAAGACCCAACCCTTCCATTTCGAGGTAATCGCAGTTTTTGACAAGTGTTTGTGTATCGACAGGCGGGATGGTCATCGCGTTTATTCGTCACATCGGCCAGATTGCGTCATTACGAATCAATTTTTTCCTTCGTGTCATCGAGATTGGACGAGGACTCGCGGAACGATAGGGGTTTCTCTCGGGCACCAGCTAAGGATGAGCAAAACGATCAGAGTGCGTGAATTTTTATCCCATGCCCGTTAATTTGTACATCTATATATGTATGCTGCGATCGTCGTACGATCCTACGAAATACCTAATTAATGACTCGGCTAAAGACATCGAAGACCGACATAAGAATTTCGAACGATTAGCGTGTATCGATGTACGCGTTTCTTCGTTAACGAATACGTATATGCACGCACGCACACACACGTACACGCACACGTACACGGAACGCGCGCGTTAGACTATGAAAGGAGGTCGATGATTGAACGTTCATGTTTTACGTGTTTCGCAGGTTTTGATAGTGTTACTGTTATCCGTAATCCCTTGGCCAGGACCGAGCGTGTTTAAGATATCATGTCCCCGTGATCGTGCATCCGTGGTGAGAAGGATCGTACAGAAGGTAACGAAACTTTGTTCGACTTTCGAAGGGTTAACAACGAAAGAATACCGCGCGCTATTCGATTGACGAAGCGATTGATTTTTGTCGAAATTTCAGAGATGGATGCCCATTCTGAAGAAGTATCAGGTAGAGCTGCCATTGGAGTGTCCGTTTCACGAGAGTCGAGACATTTTTCGGCCTCAGCAAAAGGCGAAACACCAACACAGACCATCGCAATGGACGTGTGGCCTGTGTGGCAAGTCCTTCTATGCGGAGAAACATTTGGATGCCCACTTCGATAACAGACACAAGAGCAACGTCAACACGGTAACGTAGACGTGTTGATTTTCCAACGAATCGAAGAAAGGTCAGCCAGTTCGGACGTTTACCGTGTTAAATTAAAGGTGTCATCGTGCAACGATTTTAAATTCGCAAAACAACTGCGAAGAGTACCTTTTGTATGATAAGTAATCATGATTTATGTAAGATGACGAAGGTAAAAGTTTAAACGAATGCAAAGTAAACCAACTCTGAAACGATTTATCATTATGCAGTACATTCAACGTTATATCAAGCAGACTTCGTTCCGTCGACTCGAAGCGAATAACGAAACGACGAAAAATTCGAAGCTCCGTTATAGTTAGCATGCACGCCGGGAAATGTATACCGCTATAGCAGAATCGCGATAAGATTCGTTTATAAGTTACGCGTCAATGTCATTGCTCGAGATGAATTTTGCGAAAAGCAACTCGTTAATTTACCGTTTAGCTGGCTTAGGTATCCGTTTAGGAACGTTCGAAATTTAGCCACGGACGAAAGATAGGTCAGATTTAAGGAAAATTTGCTTAACGGTCTACATACCTACATCGAAAGTCACGATTTCGATGGCATTGTCCTGGCAGAAACGCCTTTAATTTTCACGCGAACCGATTCGAACGAACACACGGAGACGATTAAAATGCACGAGAAGGCTAGTTTGCCAAGTGTGTCAATTATAAATGAAATGGTCGGTGGCAGGCGGAGGACGCGGTGTGTCTCGCGGACTACTGCGACATCATGAGATGCGATGTGCTGGGCAATCGAGACTTCGAAAGTTCCCTGGTGGACGACGAGGCTGCCCATCACACCACGGATATCCAAGTATGGAAGGAGAACACGGAGCAACGTTCCACCTCGGTGATGCCGTGCGAGTCGCGAGGACTCTCCAGATCGAACATCCAACTGTACTGTCATCGAGAAGACAGCGGCGCGCTCGAGAATCATCGTTTACCCGGTACGGCGTATCACGTGGAGATCGCTGGTCCCGACAACAAGAGTAACGCTTGCGACAGCGAGGACGAGGACGAGGACGAGGACGACGACGACGACGACGACGAAGACGACGAGGAAAACCTCGTGGAAGCGGCTCTACCTGCAGTCGACAAGAAGCAGCGACGCAAAGGGCTGCACCTGAGGAAACTCAAGTCCAACTGCAAGCCGGAAGAGCTGCAAAAGCTGAAGCTACAGTGCGAAGTTAGTTGACCCCCTGAGAAAATAATAGGACCGTCGTTACCAAGCCTTCTCGATAAATCCGTAGACAAGTTCGAGCGATAGCTCGTTTTACGGTGTACGATGGAGGACAAGAAAGATTCTTTCTCTAGAGATAATAGGTATCTTCGCGAACGTTCCGAGACGTTCCGTGGACCCCGAACAGCTAAAAATCGACGTAAGATTACAGTGCAAAGTAGCAATTCTCTTTAACACGCTTGGGTCTGTCGAGTATGCTCTTACTAATCTTGTAATTAGATCTTTCTCCTTCGAAGGTAGATTTATATTATACGGAATAATATAAACCAACCTTGATACTTTTAAGTATAATTTTCTTCCATTAACCTTGCAACTATGTACACTAGGTGCTCGTGGTATCGATAGACATACGCGTTGTATGTTCTATCGCTAAGCGTTACAATATACAAGTACCTACTGTACGTTACCAACTCCGAGAATTTTCCGCTCCTACAGCCTCGCCAATAACGAATTAACGATAGTCGACTGTCATTTTTTTTCCTAGAGGCGTCCCTGCAAGCAGAATTAATACTCTTTCGCTTAGTTTATGCACAGATACTAACAAACGTATGATGTACGTCATCGAGCGATAATTGCTAATTCGCCGCGGTAATGTATCTACGAGATATGGTTGCAACATTTTCAAAACCCAAACAAGTATCGCAATATAACTGTTATCGAACGACTGAATTCGTAGGCTAGCGTCGACTTAATCGGCGTAAACAGTATGTTGATAGTGTAAAGTAATAACCTAGAATGAACGTAACAAGCGCTACTTCTAAATAATACAATCGACTAGTTCCATTGAAATAATAATCTTATTGTTGTCCGATGTAATCGACAGATATTGGTTCGCGATTGCATCGCTGGACTTTTGACGAACTTATCCGTTCGAGATTTCCAGGAGATCGAAGGTAATCAATTAATTACGATGAAAATGACATTGCGCGAATTGTCACGAATTAAAAAATGTTGGTCGTTTTACAGGTGAATTAAATCGCGCGATATGCTGGTACCTTAGCTGTGACAGATATTGGGAAGACACTAAAAGACAACAAAGGCATACACCTTGGTACCTATTGACCATTTTTCTGGTCGTACTCTCGTCGTCGATATACGCTTGCTATTATGTCATTTGGGTTCTGTTCAAGTACGTACGTTCAATCATTTTTTATCTCGTTGCGATTCGCTTATCTTTTTCTGCTTCTATTTACTGAAATGCACCGATAAACGACATTGTTTAGTCGCAAGATCGCCGATGAGAATTGACAGACCGTAAAGTATTCGAAAGAATTACGAACAGCGATTCGAAATTATACTTTAAGCGTCTCCTTAACTCTAACACGACGATATTTAAATAGACGTCTTATTTTAAATTATAATATTCATTTATTAATATTCTCGTTGGAAAATACATTAACTTTTGCCGGCGCGAACAGCAATTCCAAATGTTAATTCACTTTTTTCTTCCTTGCTTGTTTTTTCTTCGCTTCAAGAACAAAAGTATCTTCAACGTTAGATTACTTGCCTGTTTGCACGACCGAAATCGATAAACCGGTATTGTCAACTGTGTTCCATTTTGATAAAATCGTTGATACGTTGTTTTGATCGCCAAAGATATAAAAAAATGTATTCGGAGAAATCCGAAAAATTCGTTCCCTCGTAAATTGTTAACATATCATTTTTCTCGACGCGGTACACGAGATAGCTCGAGCTCGATGCAGTATTTTGTTGTATCCCGTCGCGAGGATATTTCGCGCTACTCTTATCGAGCGTTTATCATAACAGATTTTTCGCTCGACTCCATCAACGCGATCCTCTGCTGTTCTCGCTATTCTTATTATGACGCGTCGCAAAATCGTGTTTCTCTTTCAGAAAGTGTACAGCCGCCCTTTAAAAATTGATCGTAGCTGGTTCGGTTGTGATTCGACTAAAACCAGCTTACCTAAATTTTTTATTTTAAATTACACTTTCGTATATCGTACAAGTAGTATACGAAGGAATAGCCTAACATTTCGAAAGTGAAAACGACAAAGGGTCTATGATTAAATCAAAATTATCGCTATCTAGATTGGCCGCTGTCCAAAGGTTAATTACGTAGCTTTATTGTCGAAAGTACTTACGAATACATGTTCTAAGAATGAAAGTATCTCGATAAGAAGTAAAGTTATGGTCGGTATTTCGCGGTTTTTGAGCGTGAGTGTAGATGCTATCGACGTTTCAGTTCGGCGGAGGAGGACAGACTAGACGGGACCGGAAGTATGGACTACACGGATGGAGATTACACGGCTACGTCGCCGTTACACGATCCGAGTGGTCTTGGCGAGACTAGATCCAGCGACAGAAGAAAAGTCGAACCTGCGGACGAGAATTTACCGATCTCGAACGAAGACATGCCCGATCATTATATCTACGTAGCCTATCCACCCGAGCTAAAGCGGCGATTACTGGAGAGGTACGTAATCGAAATAAAGATAAAGCATACAAGATACGATACGAATCGATTCTCTGCGTTTGCAGCTGCTACAACAGAACCACGCGACTTTGAATCGAAGACTTAGGAGAAAAATGTGCAGAAAATCGATCGAGGAAACACGGACAACTCGATCCATTCCACCAATCGGTCCTACGGCTGACCTCTGAGATACTTTTTTGTTTCTCCTATCCCTGATCCTCGTGTTTTGTATACCAACTGTGGGAATAAATTGCAAAATGTACACGATAAAACGACTCGCGTTATTCGAATCCCCGTACGGTTACTCCTCGTTATACCAGGTCACTCTCATCGATCTCGAATTCTAGGAGCTAACGAACACGAAGCTAAACGAACGAGCGGAAGACTCGATTCTGGTACAGAACGGGGAAAATAGTCGTTTCATGATTTCGGTTTTATTTGGAAACTCGAGACTTTCTAGAACCAGTAAGTCATCTTGATAGACCCATCCGAGTCTCGTTGCGTGTCCATTACGCTAGATTGACGTACCAGCCGACGCACGCTAGCGCCGCTCGGTCTTTGTTGTTCTTCTAATAGTCTTTGAGGAATAGGAGCCTCGGGTACCTCGTGCATCTCCACCGTCTCTCTGGCAGAAAGGTCTTCGTACGAAGCTGCCGCTGACGAAGGTCTAGAAACAAAGAAAAATAAACTATCGGTGCTTGACTTTTCACGTAATTCAAGAGGCAAGCATCGAAGACGATTCGCGTAAATGGAAACTGGAGGTGGTACCAGACGAGTCGAAATTGAGAACATTCGTACCTCCACTTTCCATTAAAGATAAGCGACGTGTCTTCAACCCCTACTGGTATAAATTTGCAAAGAAAGCTTAGACATCGAAAGGTTATCGCATAATACGATTAATGGTTCGCACTTGATTGGAACGCAACGTAAACAGTCCGCACAAGTCCAATCCTTCCCGAACAGTTCTCCCTCCTCCACGGTTTGCGGTAATCGATGATGAAGCGTCTCGGGCAAACGCAAACCAGACAGTCCACCGATCACTGATACCACGCCGAGAATTACTAATGGCAATACCAAGTTCTCCTTACCCTGCATGGAATGACGTAAATGCCATCAGATGATACGTTCGACGGCGGTAACGCGGGATAAGCCTATTTACGATCACTTACGAGATACGTAACAAAAGGAATGATGATAAGTCCGAGACCGCTGATGTAAGCGGAGAAACCGATCGCTACGCCGCGCAGTTGCGTGGGGTAAAGTTCACCGGCGAACGGATATATAATTAGAAAAGAGGCCGATATCGCGGATTTCGATAGGAGGAACAAAATCAACGTAGTCACCACGGCATCTGAAAGGAAAACAGAAACGGAGAGATTAGAGAGAAAGAAAAAATCGATAGAAATGCTGCTACTACGATACAGGAATCGCCTCGACACCGAGACGAGACGCTTCAGCGGATCGCTTAACACGTTCGTGGCTATACGAATAAATTTACGCGTATCGAACAGCCGATTAGATTAAAAGAAAGTGTTCAAAGCGATCCAAGCTGCACCTGTTACTCTAGACTCGAACGTGTTAAACGACAAGGAGTCGGAAAGTAACCGATTAGGTGAAATCGAGTACCCGGCGATAAGAGAACGGTGGCGATGCACGAGACCCCAGCCACGACCATGCATAAACAGAGAGGCCAGCGGCGACCCCATCGATCCATTACGACCCAACAAGCCATGTAACTTGGAATTTCTGCGAGAGACGAGAAAAAGAAACTCAAGTGTTCCTCGTTTCCCAATGCTGGCCCATAGTACGACAAGCCCACGTACACCATGTTATTGGCAAACCTAACGAAATAAGTACATTTAAAAAACAGATCATTCTATTTGAAAACTCGGTTTACGTAACATCGAAGTTGGTAAACAAATCAGTTCAAGAAAGACGAAAACACTGGCAGATTACGACAACGGCGAACAACTTTCAAGCCAGAAGATATAATTATCGCGATGACTATGCTAAAATGATTTCTCAACAGCCGTTATAACGATCAAAGGTAGTTGATTACTTTGTATTCGCGACAGTCACAACACAAATATGCGTTATCGCCATATCGATTGTTTGGATTGTGATTTTACCAGTTCAGAGTGATCAGGCATGTTTTCAGACGCATGTTCGGTGTCTTGAAGAGAGACAAAACACCGGGTCCACTACGTAATCGTTCCTCTTCGCTTTTCGACCGTGACATCATCATTCGTTGACGTAATTTCTGCGTAAAAGAGGCTGGTAACTCTTTCCCGTTTACCTTAGCGAGCCTCTCGAGTATATCGTTCGCCTCGATTAGACGACCCTTTGCCAACAGCCATCGAGGCGACTCTGGTAGAAACCTGAAATACTCTTACACGTAATTTTCCCTATTTTCGAATCTACAAATTGTCGGATTAGATAGCACCGATTTCTAATTAACGAGTTGAAATCTTGCGCGAAAGCGATCGACTTACCACCAGTATAGCGAATACAGGAGAAAAGGTGCGCTCGTTGTTACGGCTAGTGTTCTCCAATCCCTTATCAAATAGGTCACACCAGCCAACATACACAGACCCATTGTATAGAAGCTGCACGTCATTACCGTCACGAAGGACCGATAATTCGGTCCAACCAATTCCAGAGCTATTACGAGAAGAACCAACAGAGATCGGTACGCGGTTAAGAATCGTTTCATGTACATATTATGTTTACGATGTTTGCGAGTCTTACATATTATGAACGGTATCTGATATATTGCTGGAATTGTCAGACCAACGACGACGCGGGTAGCAGCCCAGGTCCAGAAACTGTTGGATATCGATGTTAAAAAGCCACCGGTGATTAATGTCGCCAAACACGTGAAAAACGATAACCTTCTGCCGATTCTACAAAACATAGAGCACATTTGACGGCACAATCATTCGTACACGAATCTTACATGTATATGGATAATTTTAGTTTAGTTACCTGTCGTTTAGAGTACCGAACAAATATACGCCTATGGGTCCTCCCGTGTTCAAGGCGACCAAACCGATCGTTGGATAAATCGCGTAGTCGCACACTAGGTTAAACTGAAACGTTGCAATATCATTAATTGTAATATCGAATATATATACAGTGTTTAAAAAGTTTCTCCTTTCCCATTATTTTACGCTCGTAGGTTTAATGCACGAATCTAGGTTTGTACAGGTTGATCGTTGCACGCTTTCCAATTATGGTAATTTCTCGTCAGAATGCCAACTATTATACGGATTCGTTGTACGCTTTCGATGAACATTTTTCTACCAATCCGATATATTGGTATTACCGAAAATTTGTCGCTGCTACAACCCCGTGCGTAGCAACGTAACGAGGGCCTATCGTATTCTGTGCAGTAAGCCGACGTAATGGGAAAGCGTAGGTAAATTTGAATAAAAAACGGGCAACCTACATCGATAACGATGGAAGATGTGACTTCCGAGGTTTCGTACTCCCAACCATGGTCACATGGTACAATAGGCCACGAAGTATTCGGTACGTACGAAGCTGTCGTCACGACAGAAATATTTTCAGCTGTCCAATCGATATCGTATCGTGTGCATTGACTGTACGTTTCGTTATCGTCCTAATTATGAAAGTTATCGTCACGATAGTACAAAAAGAATATTAAGTTTCTACAGCTAGCATAAGCGATATCTACAAACAACGGAGATTACGATAAACAGGTAGAAAGCGAAAACTAACAACGGTAATTATCGCTGTAATTATTGCTTCCGGATGCGAAGAAACCTAGGAATATCGACACAGAGGACACTGGCAAGCCATAAGCTTTGTATCCGCGATTCTCGGGTGACTAGCATCGGTGTATCTCGTAAGATACTCGAAATTACTTTTCTACGATATTACATGTCCAAGTTTCAACCTAGAACAACAATTGCACCTGACTAGTTGGAATCGCTAGTCTTCTTCTACGAGAGACGTCCAGATTTTCTAATCCCGGCACATTGCACCAATGAGGTGGCGTGTCAGCCATGAAAAGCTGATTGAAGGCACAAAACCCGCAGGGTAGACACGCCGGAAGACACACGAGCCAAAGAAGTTGTTTTTGGTAACGACCGAATTCTCCAACGATCGGGAGAAGATCGTCGAGATCGAAACCTTCCTACGATACGAAACTTTTGTCTCTTCATTTTTTATTTTATGTCCATACGTTGATCCGTAGACGATTTTCTCGATGTCTCGTTAACAAATAATTATCTGTTCTATTTGGTAATACGGATTACGTTCGAGCTATTCAACGAATAAACATATCGTAATCGGGAATGGACTTTGAGATCAGGAATGTTCGAGTTTTTTAAATGTTGTGAATATTTCATTTAACTTATTCGAATATTTGAAAGAGTCAGATTTAGATAAGCTTACGATTCGTCATCGATATCGCACTGCCGCGAATATTCATTAGGAATTTCTTAATCACGATTACGATTAAAAATGGCCCGAATATTCTGACAGGGCCACGTTTTCGTTCATTAATCCGATTAACGAAAGATCGAGGGTCGATGAGGGATCGCTATCGAACAACTTACTTCATCGTCCGTGTTCCCAGTGGTTTTGGCGTTTCCTGCACTCTGACTATCGTCCATCCTCGTGCACTTAGCCCACGTCTAGACTACCGAAACGTCGCCGATACCTTAGAAAAGCGTTACGTGACGTGCATTAGCTCCTTGCCGATGCTTGCGCGACCAATATGCTGTTCGTTCCATCCTGTAGCGACGATCTTCTCTTTGGCCACCAATGACCGCGACGATGTCCTCGAACCACCCCGACCGAGCAGAGTGTATTTAGTATTTAGATCCGCGTTCCAGCAGTCTCCTTGTCGCACGAGATTTACCGAGTTCTGGTAAGACACCAATCCAAAACGATTCAATCAGTTAGAAGATTAATCGAGTCCAGTCACTTTATCGAATCTATCGCTCTCAACATTCTTCACAAAGCGTGCTATTTTTTTCGACAATCGATAGTCTTTACTCTTCTCTCTCGAGCTTGTTACGTGTCATCGTTAAAAGGAAGGAGCAAAACGGAAGAAAAATAGGTGAAAAGAGATCAATGATAATGGTCGGAGCAAGGAATCTAAACAAATAACGGTGTTATTCACTTGTTCGGAAACGTAAAAGCACACCGGGAAGTTACGGTCGTGTTAATCGCACGGAATAAAACGGAATTCGCGTAAATATACATATTACGTCGAAATAACGAATTAAGCGATCGATTATCGGATAACTTATCTCGCAACTTTCCTCGAGGAAAATAGCGAGGTTATTCGATCGTTCGGGAACTTAGGAGCGCACCAGGATACATTCGCGTTAATCGCGAAGAAAATGAAAAGGAGTCGTGTACGCACTCGCGGCCGCGTTTCGCGCGTGGAAAAGAGAATCGAGGAAATGCAGGCGAAACGAGTTTAGCGACGTGTGCCACGACCTGTGCCCTTCTAATTCAATTGGGTTAAGGGTACTTAGCGGAGATTAGGAACACTGCTGACACATGCTACCAGGCAGCGTGCGATTCAATTTTCGAACGCACTGCGTCAGGTATTTGCAAAATATCCAAGCACCCGTTATTTTTTTTAGTCGTTCCTCAATATTTTTCCAATCCTGTATTATTCGTTATAATCGCGGCGCAAACTTCTTTTGCTTTTTTCTTTATCGCATTTCCATGCGCATTAAATTAACCGGCCGTGTGTACTTTGAATTTAGTCAGATAAATTGCAAGAATCGAGAAGATGAAAATGTTTCGATATCGTTTTACCGGCGACCTCGGCATTTTTCTACGATATCGAAAATTACGGGAACTTCTTGGTATCGAGAGGTATACGGCTTCCGTTTTAAACCGGAGTAATCTAATTGATGAAGCAAAGGACCGTATAAGGAGACATATAGTATCGAGTTGTTCGTCAAATTTTCATCGTTCGTACCGATCTCCACGGCATAAAGCTTTTACTTCGATATTAAATCGCATCGAGAACTTTTGAAAAAATCCGATAATCGTCGGTGCTCGCGCGAGTTAAGGTCAAGACGCGTTTTTGCGACAGATTCATACGCGAACGTATCGTATCGTGAGTGACGGGTCAAGGTAAGCGATCATTGAACAGAACGAACAAACGATCGATCATTAGTAATAACGACGTCACTACGTGTACATAGATTTCAGTACTGAATTTATTCTGGGCAATTTCGTCGATGGAAACAAATGGTAGGAACGAAAACAGAAAGAAAGATTTTTTAAATGAAACGCGTACGTGTAGATCTACCGATCTAGTGTAAAGTATTTCTTTTTCTTCGCGCTTTAATGTCAGTCAATTAACCGTGTCGATACCGATTCAAACGATTCTAGTCTCGTATACATACATTGACAACGATACATGGTCAGCCACATTACTATCTAGAAGAACGAAAAATTTACAAAACTTTTCCAAGGTTAAGCGCAAACTGCAGATTAAGGAAATAATCAGCAGGGTAAAAAAGAAGCGAATCACGTATATTGTATACGACTTTTGGACTTCCATCGATCGAACACGCGTGTTTTGCTAATCAATTAATCATTCCACTTGTCTTGTTGTGATAAACAAACTTTTGACAATCCATTAATGTGACCGATTATACACGCACGTTTTGTATCTTTTTCGTTGAAACACAGACTTTGCAAATATCACGAGACTGCTCCAAACCGTAATGAAACGAAGATAATGTGTGTCTCGCGCTACGTTATTGTACCGCACCCTCTCTCAATTGATTAAAATTAGTTGTAATTAGTTATTCTTACGGATGAAATTCAGGCGAATAACGGCGTTTTTTCATCGATTGTTTTCTTCGTTTACTTACTCTATTACTTTTAATCTGTAATGTCATTCACCGATGACAACGCGTAACGCGATAGTTCTTCAATGTACTCTTCTACTTTACATTGTTAGCCTATTAACTTTGGCGTTCCTTTAGCTTACATAATTTTTGTCGCAAAAGAAAACGCGATATAGCAAAATAAATGAAAAATTTCAATCGAACAGATCGAAAGAGAAGAACTAAATTAAAGGAGGATAGTTTAGAGGTGAAATGTCTGACTCGAAATTTTGAAAAAATCGAGTTCTAGGAACGAAAAGAAAAGATCGGAGAGGGTGAGCAAATTACAGCGTGGCAAGGTCTAAACAGAATTTCATCCAACTTGTGTTCTCGTTTATTCGTTTTCTTTCTTTCTTTTTGCCCACGTTTATCGCCCAAATTCGTTCACACGCGTAAGTTATGTTCTTTTTCGGTTCGATCATCGGATCGGCAGCATTCGACACCACTCTTGCATTCTTCTCTATCTGTTCGCAAAGTCATCACAAAAAAACGTCCATCTCACGCGCTCATCTTTTTTTCCCTTTTCCGCTGACTCTATTACTATAATTACGCTCTTTAGTTTTTTTTTTTTTGTTAGTTTTTCTTAGTTTTTTTGTTCATCTTGCTTCCCCTTAATTTTCTAAATTAAATCACACGATTACGTGCACGGCAATGGCACGGCGCTCTCGACATTCGCGAGTCGAAAATCGGAACAAAAATATCGAAGATACGGATGGAACCGTGTCACACGAACGATAAAATAGGCATCTCACGGAACAATCGATCTTCACCCCTTTCTCTCCCTCCATTACCGTGCAACGTCTCTGACGCTTTGGAACAACAACAGCTCTTACGCGTTGGCCTCGTGTTTCGCGACTCGATCACGATTGAAAAAATATTATCGAAAATATTGTCTCGTACGTACAACGGCAACCGCGAATCTATCGAAGAACGGAGAATTCTGCCTTCGAACACCCTGTCAGCCCAGCTGAAGAGTCTTTAAGAAGAAAATTAATAATTATCATGTGCAATTTGAATTATTGTTCGGTTCGTGTAGCAATTGATTGGTTAAATCCTGTCTTTCTTTTCAGGTTGTTGATCAGAATTTCAAACAAGATGATCTCAGAGACAGGTTCTCCGATCTTTTTAACCGCGTCACGATACAAAATTTATATAACATCTTTTTTATTTTTTATTTTACTTATTTCCATCTTTTCTCTTTGTTTCTTTTTACAAATCGACGATTCGTCCCATCCCAAACGGTGACACGCCGCGATTCACGTCGAATCACGAGCCAACCCAATCTCTCCATCCCCCAACAATCAAATCTTTCACTCTCTCTCGCGTTTCTGCAATATCGCTTTCTTTCTTTTTTTCTCTCTATCACTCGCAACACCGATACAGGACACACCCGATCAGTTAAAGTTTACTTCACAGCGCACATCATCACTGATACAGCGTAATGCACACGCTTTTTTCCTTTCTTTCTTCTTTTTTTTTGTTCATTTTTTCTATTATTTTTCTTAATATACTTATCACTTAAATACGCTCTCACTTACGTTCCCTATTGAAGCATCGCACGCACTCTAGGAGTCTCGACGATGAAAAGGCTAACAACTAATAGTTCGATAAAAGATATTATCGTGTATGAGTTTGATTCAGGGAGCACGTGTCTATCGCGTCTCGATCTCTCGTTACAATTCACGTACGTATAATTTGTTTTCTGTGTGCGCGTTAGACTGGAACCTGTGTTCGTTCAAGAAATAGACGAACTTGAGGGAAGATGATTTCTGGATCACCGGAGTAAATCGATTTTACAGTTAACGCGTCGATTACCGCGTTACGACATCGATTACTAAAGACAAGATTAGTCGATCGTTTCGATCAGATACTTTGACGGTCGCGTGTTTCACGGCATCAATGGCTCTTGTAAGTTTACATCTCCTTTTATACCGAGAAAGAGATTATCGAGATCGATTTCGTTAGTCTATTTGCTGTATCGATCATCGTTTCATTCCCACGATAATCAACGCGTTAAGGCGACTTCGGTGAAGAGGGTATTAACCGCTCTCAAATGTTAAAGTCAGATCAAATGAAATCGTAATGACCAAACCCGTAATCTTTTGCATAGTTTTGCACTTATCGAAAAATGTATGTCAAGACGAGATTCGAGAACACCGAGAGAGACACGCTCCCTTTAGGGTAGAACATCGACCCCTCGCACACGAGAGTCTCTCCAAAAAATCACAGTCGCGTATATAATATAATTTGTTTCATTTGTATTCCTCATTTTCACTCCGTAACTCGTTACTTCGATCACGGCACGGCCGGCGTTTCATTTCCTAGTTTCCTACCCTTTGGGCTTACTCGCGTTAAAAAAAAAATCTCTTACTTCTCCACGACCGTTTCCTACCTTTTTCGCGTTTCGCTTCTCTTTCCTTTTGTTTGCTTCGTTCCTCTCTATTTAGGCTCTCTCTGTGGACCAGATAACGCGATTCGCAAACGATTAGTGTCGCCTCGAAAATACCAGATACGGACGATCAACGATCAAGAAAAATTGTTCATCCGTTTCCGAAACGCTTTGAATAATCGTGAGTGCATCGTTAGTACAATTTTCGATCGTTTGCGAATCAGAAGAACAGGCGAGCGATCGAGTTCTTTATCAAGACGCAAAAAGACGCGCACCCGCTGTCCTCTCCGTCGTGGTTCCTCTCTTACACTCTAATTTTCACTCTTTCGATCTGCTCGCTCTCTCTCTCTCTCTCTCTCTCTCTCACTCACTCTCCCTCTCTCTCTCACACACTTTTTCTCTTTCTCTCTCGTTCTCTCTACTCTCTCCGCTACGTGGAATGTAAAAGAAAAACAGGGTATTTTGCGCCTCGGCATTTTGCGTGTTTTCTTCTTTGGACTCGGAACAACAACTTTCGTTTCCTTTTATTTTCTCTTTTTATAAGACTCGTCAAAGCACGGACTTTGGTAGATCGATAACGTTCGACAAACGTTATCGTGGACTGTAAGACAAAGCTGCGTTTGTAAACGAGGTAAAATTTTGTCGCGATTGGAAGACACCGTGTTTCGTCTGCTGAAATTTCGTTCTGTCTTGGAAATCGAAAAGATAAAGCGATATACATGAAACGGTCTTGTAATCGTTAACGTTACGATCATTCTCGAAACTACAACAGATACAGGTGTTGACTTTCAACATTTCCGTATGTATAAATTTCTGTTTTATCGAGATTCATAAATTTAAGACAGAAATTGCGATAGCGAAAAGGTTAAAAAATCAAAGTGACTTATTATTTAAAGACTTGTTACCGCGCACTTTATAGTTAAAAAATAATTCAAATATTAATAATCACCGATCGACCCAATACTATAGAGAGAATTTATGCGCGTGTACTGCAAAGAGATCAAGGTTTAGGCTCCAGTCTACATAACGAGCGGCTCGAACCGAAACAACTTCCTTATCCCACCCTCCCACCAACCCTTCATTTTCTTTCTTGGTTAGTCATTTTTTTAAAAGCTAGATAAACTTTTCATCCTTATACGCTAAGTTTGGCAATATCGTTCGCAACAGTAAAAAAATTATATACGTATATATATATTTATTTGTATCCAGACGTGGAGCTGACACATCGGTTATCCTTCGATATGTAAAATTGTAAAAAAGATAATCAATTTAATAAAAAGTCTCTTAGTTTAATCGTGTCTCATCAATTCCCTATGTTTGTCCTTTTTTTCGTATGACTCTTCTTTCTTTTTTTTTTATACGCCAATGTTGTTCCTCGCTCTTTCTTTTCTTTTAATTTTTCCATTTTGATTTCGTCGAAACACGTTTGTCCCGTTTTTATCATGGTTTCCATCGAGAAAGAAACCATCGCTCATCACGTACCACCACCACCACCATCACGACCATCATTATCATCATCATCATCATCATCATCATCATCATAATCATCGTCATCAGCCGAGTGTTAATTTCGATTTTCGTAATAACATCTCTTTATATCGTGTCCGTATACGTAAAAGTTTCGCGTAAAAACGAGGCGTACTCGAGAAAAGTGTGTAAGTAAAGTTATTAATGAAAACGCTATAAAATATACAGTTCCGGCAATCGCGCGAAAGAACGGTGGTCTCGCACGTTAATATAGAGTGCTTTCCGCTGGCAAAAGTATTTGGAATGCAATGGCACTAACCACGGCCACGTTTTCGGTAACGTGACGTAACTATGTATTATATTATTAGAGGCGTCCAACCGACCGTCCGTCCGTCCGTCCGTCTGTCCGTTTAATCTTTTCTTTGAAATCTTACTAAATAACACGCCGTGAAGCCTCCAATAGAGGCTGAATAACAATCTATTAGGAATCTCATCCGCGAGGCCGGAATACTACGAGCAAAGGACAAAACTAAACTTATTTCTGCGTCGTTAACCCTTTGATTGCGCCCGAACGTTTCATCAAGGTAGAACAAAGCATGATAGTTGATCGTCAAAATGTAAATAGACTCGTAAGAAATCATAAGCATATCAACATCGATTAATTCGTAGCGCTTGATCGGTGCAATTTGCCAATTCATTAAAAAAGTAAGAATGCGTCGTATTTATAATCGACCGAACAGGATTAATACTTTCGGGTGACTACCGTTACGAACAGCTCAAAGGGTTACCCGATTCAGAGGTGTCCCTGATTTTTTATGTACGCTCGTTTCAGGATTCAAGAGGTCTAATCAGATAGTACAAAAGCAAAATCCTAAGTTGCCATAGTCTCCGCGAATCGAGACATTTGAAGTATATCCCAGCAATACACTAAACTGGGTTACACGTCAATTACCTTTGTTTCACGTAGTATCGGCCACGATTTACACGATCACTGTATTCAACAAACTCCGAAACATAGTACGAATGGAACGAGTAATACTGCTCGAATGGTTTACCTGATCTTCGACGAATGCCCTTCTATAACGAAGTCAGAAAGACCAGGAAGACGACTTCTTCGACAGTATGATACCTCGAATCGATTCAATATTTTCTCGAGGATATTGAAATTCGAAAAGGAAGAAACGAGAGATTAGAAAATGTCTGGGACAAAGAGTATACCAACACTGTCCCACGATATATGTAATTGGCAGTGCGAAAAAGCTCTCGTCTGATATTCTAAGATTCGTCGAAGATCTCTAATAAGCTCTTTTTAAGGATAACATACAGTGATCGTGTGCAATCATTTTAGTATCTACTAACGCGGGACTACAACCAACAAACGGAGTATATGTATATTTCAAGAGGGTGGGGCTAGTCACTCGATCGTATTCTTTTTCTTGTTTTTGCTTTATGCTCTTGTGTGTTTCTTCGCGAACGTTCAGACCGGACGAGGATTTCGGTACAACTCAATAACTTATGCCAGCAAAATATTAATTTTAATGAATTATCAACAGCAACAGACATTCACATACGAGGGGAAAATAACATACGCATCATCGTACTACAACGGATCGTTTGGATTCTCGCGCAACATGATTGGGGACCAGGGGTCACCAGTATTTCGAATCTTTCCGACCTTTTTGTTTCGTTTATTATTTTTTGTACAATCATTCAGTATTTCTCACGTTCTTTTCTCGTTCGCTCACTCCTCTCTCTCTCTCTCTCTCTTTCTTTCTTTCTCTCTTTCTATTACTCCATAAGCACTCACGCAACATTTCGCTGCATCGGATATCAATCAGCATTTCGACGATCATTTATTTCGCTCGTTAACTGCGAATCACGCCAACAATCATTCGATTCTCATCTAGCGAGCGACGATGATCGTTCAGCGAGGAATCGAAAAGATGTTACACGCTTCGTTGATAAGCTACAGTGGCAGGGGGAAAGCTAAAGCTTTACAACGAACGCGTGTAGTAAATGTACTTTCTGCGAGACGATGTACAGTCGTCCGTTCGATGGCGTTTTATTTCATATTATATACGACTATCACACACGCATACATATAGGAAATCATTCTCTCTATCAATTGCTTCCACATTCTTATCAACGTTACAGTCTCTCTTTCTCTCTCTCTCTCTCTCATTTAATTTCTCTATCACATTTTAATCTTCTTTCTCATTCATCTGTCTCTTTCTCGCTTTCTTTCTCACTGGCCACGATCACTGTCCATCGAAGTCGTCCTTTCCTCAGGTTCAACTTCTCAATCACGCGGGTAGAAGCCCCAGGCTTGTTAACAGGCATACTTGCATCACCGGAACATCATCTCGGCAGGCAGGCTTCGACCTTGGCTCATTCATCGGCAACAATCCACTTGCACTCCTCAGTTGTCGGCAGACATCCGGCAGACAGGTATTCTTTCAATTTTTTATTCTGCTTTTGTTTGTTTTGTTTTTGTTTGTTTGTCGGCCAATTGGGCTGCGTTTGACGTGCCGGTACTCGAATACCGTCGCCAGAGCAGGGACACGTGCAGACTCATCACCCCATCATCGTCATCGCTTTTGGAACTCACGCACATCCATCAACTCGCATCCGCACCATCCAATCTTGTTGTCTTTGCATTGTGTTCGATAGCTTTCTAGTCAAATTAAATTGCACGACAGTACAACCCGTGGGGTGATCTGTAAACAACAAAAGCGAGCCAAACATCAATAACCGTCGTTTACCGGATTTCTTACGAATTTTTAATTGTTCAATTTTCAATTTTTTTATGCGATTTCCGTGTTTACGCGTATCGTGGCTACAACAGGGGGAACGATAAGCGACAACAGCAACAGCAGCAGCAGCAGCAGCAGCAGCAGCAGCAACAGCAACAGCAGCAGCAACAACAACAATAACGACAACAACAACAAAACGAAACTGTATAGCATAGAATAGTCGTAGATCCTAAAATTAAGTTATGTCTTTTTCATAGAAAGAAGATACAGAAAAAAAAACCTCGGTGAAGGTACATTGTATATTCAGAAAGCAATTTCTGTAAGAATCTCATAAATGACAATTAAATTATAATATTCGTTCAGTTGTAAAGTTTTGCTCGACTATGATTCTCCGATCTTCGTTCAAGAAAAAGATTTATTCTCCAATTTCTAAAATCCATTTTGTGGAATACTGTTGGTCCTATACCACCACCACCCACCCACCCAAATCTGTTCTATCTCTTATTTGCATCTTTGTCCTAACTTTTGTAGCACTGAATATCGTTCGTCGAAAAGCAGATCTCCGTGAACGGATCAATTTGAACATAGCGAAAAATAGCATAAAATAGAATAGGGCGTTGCAAATAATAAGATGAAAGGATTCGACAAATAAACGATAAAGACGATACGGGCGGATCAATTGAATACACGCACCACACATCGTTCACACGAAAATTATAGAAAAAAAAAAATAGAGAAATAAGAAAGAAAATTTTACTCACCAACTGGACGTTGAGTTGGCAACGTTCTTAAGCTTTCGAATCTCTTTGGCTACCCAGCTGGCCAAGACTTTGGTCTTTTGAGTGCGCGATCGTCTCGCCTTGGTTAGCAATTCGGTGAGCGGTTCAGTCTCTACCACCGGTAGCAATTTAACTCCAAATACAGTTACCAAGTCACCGAGCAAGCCCACCGAAGCCGTTATGTTGCCTTCAGAATGTTCACGGTCCTGAGCTATCGACGTGATAAATTGAATGATGAAAGGTACATGAGGATCGACCAAAGCAATCGCAGCATCCGGACAAGAATTTGACATGTCGCCTCGTAATCCTTGCACGATGCCGGTATAAGCCTCTAAGACACCCTCTCGTAATTCGTTCAAATAATCGATCATGTCGTAATCGGTCCTGTCGACATTTGCCTGCGAGGCTTGTGCCAACGTTTGCAGCACCACGTCGAGGTATTTTTTAAATTCGGGACCGATACTAAGAGCGACATCTCCGAAAACCGAAAAAATCTGAGGCTTCACCGAACGATGAACCGTGTTGTTACTAAGATTTTCCAGTAACAGGGTCATAATCTCGTCGCAATAAGGTAACATCTTGCTTTTCAAGGCGCGGCAAATGTCGCCAGTCAAGCCCACAGCGGCGCAGCAAACCTGGTATTCTGCGTGATTCTTCAAACCGAGGCAAAGATACGGTTTAAACGCATCCATGTACTTGAGGAATCCTTCTCCAAGCACTTCGACCAAAGTCGAAACGGCCATGAGAGCATCCTCCTGTACACCTTCCTTACAGGAGTTCGAATTAAACATAGACAATAATGCCGTCATGATCACGTCGGATATCTGCGGCGCATCCTCCGGTGTAACCTTACGTAGTACAGATTGCAAAGTGGCGCACAGCAACGACTGCAGGTCATTGTATTGAGCACGATCCGTGTGAGTCTGGATGTGTGTTTCCATTTGCAGTACCTGCTGCAACCTCTCCAGGATCACCATCGTCGTCTTCTGTACGGTCACGTAACAATCTCGTGGGGAATTCTTCACCATCTCCATCAAAGCCTCGTATGCAGCTGACCGTAAATTCGCTTGACCTCCGTCCGGACGATCCGTCGTTTCCAACAGTCTTTGGATAATAAAATCGAAATACTGAGACATACAGTAAGTTTCCGGTTGCTGCCCGGGTTCGACAGTCTCCGCAGATTCGTAGCTGGCTTCCGCAAGCCCCGTAAACGCCCAACAAACGTTCGCCGCCACACGAGGCTCTGCCTTCAAACCGTTTATTAAGGCTTCTAGTAATGGCTTCAAGTACGTATCGTTGATCGCTGCTTCCGGAATAATCTCACAAATACGACCGAACGTCCAAGCAGCCGTATCCCTTACCGCGACGCTATTATCGTACATTAATTCGATTAACGTTGGCATCGCTTGTTCTATTAATGGCTTAATCGTGCCAGGATCTAATCCTCCGAGAATCGAACCGAAAGCCATTAAAGCAGCGTCTCGATGCCTCCAGTTTGGACTTTCGATATTTTCCTTAACAAAGGGAAGAACGTAAGGGAAAATCGCCTCTTCGCAACAAGAGGACAATAACATCAAACACACTCCTGCGGCTTTCGAAGGGTTCCAATCGTCTTCGTTGTCGAATTCTTCTTGCTTGGTGAGTTTTTTCATCAAAACAGGTACCAAATATTGCAAAGCTCCTTTTGCATAATGCCTTGATACTTTAACGGGAGGTCGACCTCCATCGGAAGCTTCCCCTTCTTCCATGGATAAATCTACCTCTTCTTCGGATACGTTCGACCAAAACTCAATTCCCTGAAGTGCAACTTCGTCGATATCTGATTTCATGGCTTCTAAAGTAATAGGAAAGAGTGCCGGAGCCATGTATGGCTCCATATACTGATAATACAAAGACATAATTTTCACCAAACACTGTAAAGCAGCTACTTTGACTTGCGTATTTACAGACTGTGTCGCTTCGCACACCACCTCCATGATGAAATTTCTCTCTGTCTGCGGATATAAAGAATCGAATTAAGACCAATGTACCGAATAGAATTTTTACATTATACCAACCTCTATCTCAAAATTTCCTTTGGTAAATTCCAAGGAATTGTAGAGTGCACTTGTAGCCGCAAGCCGTACGTGATGCGAAGTACTAGATCCCTTCATGCCATGAATAATAGCGGTGAGAATGTGGTTAGATTGAGGTATCAAAACATCGCTTTCTATTTCTTGGCAAATATAACCAATGGCTTCTAGAGTCGCCTCTTTCATTATTTCCGTACTGTTTGGATTAACAACATTGTTCACTAGTAACTGAATAATGTTGGTCCATTGGCCAACAGGTAATTCAGCAACTGCAACGTATGCGACACATTGTGCCGCAGAACTTGGCCTATTGTTTTCTGTTCCGAGTGCTCCAAAAATCTTTAAATTCAAAACACACCAAACTCGTACTACGCTCATCCAAAAATACAGACACGTATATAGACAAAAAGAAATCTTACATTTTTCTTAATAAACTCCCTACTCTCTGCTGGAATTTGAAGCCAGCGCTGCTGATATTGATATTTCAATTGACCATCTTTGGATGTAAGTTGATTTTTGAGTTGAAGACCGGCTGCCATACGGGCAACCGGGCTTGCAGCGGCAGTAACCAGCACGCCGCTGAGTCTTTGCATAAACTCATGCTAAAAAATATAAAATTTGCTGTAATCTTTTCAAGATACGATCCTCTGTTCAAAAGGAAACAGGGTCGTTAAGCTTAAATAACTTACAAGATTAGTTTGTGCTGCTTGCTCCAAGAAATTCTGAGCTGCCTCCAGCTCATTTTTCTCTGAAACGAAAAACGAAAACGAAAATGAGAGCGATTAATATGATAGATTTCTAAACGAATCGTTTCAACGATGACAAAAAGCAAGAATTGGTATTAACGTTTATAGGTTAGAAAAGCACGATGCACTCGTACGTGCCAACCGACAACGGGAACGTGCAATAGGAGTAACCGTCACATTCGGACAATACTTTTCCGGTGGTGAACAAAGCCCCTAGCAACAGCCAAACGGAGCAGAATACGACGTATTATCGTACAAACGAGAAATTCTGTTCAAATATTAACGTATTCGTGCCGAAAAGTTTAGGAGAAATCGATAAAAGCATCGGTCCACCACGATATCAATTGCTCCCAGAACATACCGGAAAGAATAGGTAAAGGACGCGCACGCGGTGGGACTTTACTTTTACAGACAATGTCACGAAAATCGTAGAAGAATATTCGGTAAGCGATATGTTTCGCGAAACAAGATCGGAAGCAAGGTCAAGGGGAACAAAGTAACCAATAAAAAAGAATTCGAATCCCACGATGTCGCCAATAACTCGAATTCGTTTAATCAAACGGCTCACCTGACGAGACGGTCCTTTCGAGAACCTGGATCAGTTGCACCGTCGTTGGGTCCATCTGCATGATTTCACCTTCTTTCGGCTATCGATTTATTCTTGTGAAACGTAATTTTTATGCCCAAATAGGAAATGTCTCCTTGTCGCGACCGGCGGACAGCCACATGTAGCCACCACCGAATCAACTAGCTCCAACGACGTACCCCCCTTCTACCCACTTCCTGCTAGTAGTCGATTTCTGCTTCCTTCCACAACGTGCAGCGCAGCAATATCCGCGCCCTTTACTACTCACGCGCCTACTACACAGAGATGAATCTCTTGATCGTTACACGGGGACAGTATATACCCCGGACGTACGACTCCTATCAATCGATCAGCCTTAAAACTTTTATTCCGAATCGCGTAAACGTTGCAAAACTACTGTCACGAGTGTCACGTTTCTCGAAGCGATCGTCGTGTCTCTCCGAGCGCGAACTATTTTCTCTGTGCGCTGTGCAAAACCTCTTCTGCGCATGTGTAGAAGGTTTCGTAAACGCCATCTATGACTGTCCCCAACGTTCTGACGCATGTGCACCAAACATAACCGTTATGCCGGTTAATTTTGAAATCGTGCTCACTTTGCAGCTGCACGCTGTCACGCGATTCACGTTCCTATGCTTTGTTTGCGCTCGTTACTGGCCACTTCGACTTAGCGATCACAAAAGGCGTTTCAAATTATAAAAAGAATGCATTTCCAGGAATGCAACGTTTAGACGAATCGAAAAGACTATTTATCACGTTGCAAAAAGTATATTTAAAAAACAAAAAAAAAATATATATATATATACAATAAGTGTATTTCGCTTTCGTAGTTTTTCTTTCTTCGCAGCTTTTGTCCTGAAAGGAATTATAAAACGAAACTGTTAATCGTAATATATTTTGCAATTCGAATAAAAGCATTCTTTGGATTTCAGGTTTCACGACTGGTATTAAACGCCAGGTGCGCTTTATGCAAAGTCGCAGGACCCTTGACAACCGTCGGATTCCCTTCAGACTATTGACGATCCTTCGAATACCTGCTTTTCGATTCACGAGCAACAACCGGGGATACGACAGTGATAAAAGACGTCGGTTATTTTAATAGATTTAATGAAACGATATACAGAATACATTTGCTTTCGTAATGCATCGCATCGCATCGTCCGCGTGCCTTACCATCTATATCACATGTCAATTTTTTTTTTATTTATAAAATATAATGGTCACAATGTGTTCTTTTTTTATATTTTATTACGTGATTCCTTTGAATTGCTTTCTCGTTCGCATATCGAAAGTATATTATTTCTTTCATTTATATTAATCATATTTATATATTTATAAGTATGTATATATAATAACAATATATTATTTTATTTTTATATATTATATATTAATCAAGCGAGAGGGAACTGTGTGAGGCTCGGCACAGAATTACAACGAATCAGGCCGCGGAAAGAAGGTTTCGTGAATGTGCGCGCGTGTAAAACACCTTAAATAGAATATTTTTACAAATTGTTAATAACAGTGTTAACGATGCTAAATATCGACGGTCGTAGGGGTGAAAAGGCCGGTGATGGGGAAACTTCCCTTGCAATTCCCTTTTATTGTCGTCGTGAACAAAATTGCAAGGAGAACACAGATTGACCCGATAAGATCATCGGCGAATTATCGATCGATTTCAACGATTCGCACCTCCTTTTCAATTGTACGGCCGTCAATACGTATCGACGATCGATCGACATTATTTTATTCGTCGTTCTTCCTTTCTTATATTTTCCGTATCTTGTTTCTTCCTTTTTTTTCTCTTTTGTATCCTTCGTTCAAACGCAAGCAATCATTGCGATTCATCGATATACATATCTTTCGAAAGAGGATTCGAGTATCCTTCGCGAGTTTATGAATTTACTTTCGATGCAACGACCATCACTTCCGGTATGTATTTTGTAATGGTGCAGCTAGTGTCTGTGACTGTATCCGCAGATATTCGTACGGTGAAGTACGGATCGATCGTTGTAGAAATGTCCGTACGAAAACGAGAATATACCCGTAGATACATATACATTTCGCTTTCTTTTCTCTTTAAATTGTATAGATTATTTTTTTTTTTCACGTGATTCTTTATTTCCTTGTTTTTTTATAAAATGTCGATCGTGAAAAAGAATGAAGAAATTTTATTCCGCTCGATCGTTGGACGGAAAGGGAACGAGTTTCGATTATCGAGCGACACCATGATTCCTGTGGAACATCGAAAACGCTAGGTCACAAAAGACGATCAAACCAAAAAAAAAAGATGAAAACAGCCGTTGATTGAACATTTATTGTTACATCGAGGGGAAAAAAATATTGTGGTACACCTAACGGAATTGGCCGTTGTTCGTTTACAGCGATTACGACAATTAATCGGTAACAACAATACCCGAACTCGTTCTTCTGCAAGATATTTCTACGTTCGAACGATCCGAGATTTCTTCTTTCCCGCCGGTAAAGGGGATTCATTTTTCTCGCGCTTTAACATATTCTTTTCGACGCATCGTCGTTTCCCTGTCGAATTTAACATGGTAACATCGTAAAAAATAATATAATATTGATCGGCGTTGAGTCCAGGAAAGATCCGACGAAATCGAAAGAGAAGTACGTCGATTACGAGTTAAACGTTACGCGTTTCCACTTTCACGAAGGGATTAGAAACTTCCTTTAATTTTCTTAATTATTAGGAACAAAAATAACCTCTCTCTGTCCCTCGGCGAGGTAAAAACTTAAGAACTCTCGAATTCATTGAGCGCTCGTTCATCGTAATTAGCCTAATAGCACCGTTCAATTCGACGAATTTCTTCAGCCTCTAAATCTCTTCTGGACTCGATTCGCTTCTGTCACGCGGAGGTAGCGACTTTGGTTTGCCGAATCTTCGTAAAATATTTAGACGAGCTCGGTAGAGAAACCATTATCGTTGATTAGAAGCTCGTCGTTATCGAGTCGAGCGTGAAACGAGTTCTAAATTTTGAAGCGATCGCTTCTCTCGCGGTATCGTATGATTTTCGTATGATTTTCGTCGAAAAGGAAACACTTTTCGATCGTGTCTTCTTTTCGCGTACGTTCGTACCTTGCTTTCTTGCCGGGCATTTTTATTTCGCGTCGTATCCATCCGCAAAGCTCTCGCGTTAACGAAAACTGCCGTTCACTGTCTTCAACTGTCTTTGATCAGGCAAATGAAATTTTCTTCGCGATCATTACTTTCGTCTTCGATAGCGAGTTATTATACGACTATCGATGATTCTTGCGAAACAAACGATATACGCGTTAAAATAAAATTAAATCGAAGATGCTCGATCTTCGAAAGGAACCATGATTGCACGGAGATCGAGAGTGGAAGGAAAAATCGTAATGTCCAATCTGGACGCGTTCCTTTACGAAATGTCGAACATTTGCGGATACACACGGTCGATTAAAGAGTAACGTATACACACGTAATTATTTTTTTATACCTATTGTGCACATATACATGTATTTTAACGTGTTTCTCGCGGGTGCAGGGAGGTAATTTCCCACGCGAAATGTGTCCTTCGTCGGTTAAGTGCATTAAAAGACAATGCTTCGTGATACTATCGAATATATTAAACGCTGCATCGGTTGGACCGGTTTACTGGGCTGTGTACTTCTTTCTTTTAACGTCGACAAATAACACAGAGAACAGAGAGCAGACATTTTCCGCCGAACGATAAGGACAAGCCTGCTGGAGATCGAACGACGAGCAACGATCGTTGATCGGTAAATTGGACGATCCTCTTCCATCGATTCGCTCTCCAGGCAACGTGGACGCAATCTTCCGAAGGTCGATCGAATTCCAGGACGACGTTCGTCATTCCAAAGATACGGTAGAGCGGCGAAGAGTGCACAACGTTGACGGAGAGCCTTACGCGTTTAGCGAACAATGGTAACGCAAGGTGGCGGCTGTGGTGGTAAGAAGGTAGCGGATGGTAACGGTAGTGGTAATGACAGGCGATCGGTAAACGCCATAGAATCGTAAACGCTAGCGGTAAGTAATACGTAACAATAAGTAGCAAGTAATAGTAGTATAAGTAGTAGTAATGATAGCGGCGCGGTATACGTATAAATAGGGACTTCCTACGTTAGTTTGATTAAAAATAAATGTCATAACGTAATAGGTAACTTTATGCCGGACCCGTCGCAAAGCCTCTGTTTACCGAATCAAGATACCGCGATGACACGCATGACCTCGATTCCCATTCAAATTCCTAGCACTGCGATCGATTTGGCTGTGTTCGGGTCCTACTTCAATCTTGTCTCCCTTAGCTGTCTAAAATCACATTAACGCAAAGATAGCGGTTCATTTGGGCGGGTACGGTCCCGACCGTGCGTGACGCGGAAGACACTCGTACGTTTTACGACGATGCTAAATTAGGGCGAGGATACAGCACCGATCAACTCTTTCTAGTACAGGAAACGAAGGATTTTTTTCGAAAGAACATACACGTTGTTTAGCATCATCGCGCCGACGTTCGAGCATGATCACGATCACGAGTTTTTCCTCTTTTTTAAAATCGTCAACACGGAAGAGCGAAATTCACGATGGGAAAGGGAGGGAATTTATCAGCGACGTTAAGTCACGACGTCTACGTGCGCTCTTCCGTCGTTGCTTTGATATGTTGTAAACCGTCATCGCGTTTCTTCCTTCTCTCCAACGGATAAGTAAGTACATTCGTTCGCGGTAAGAAGGGAATCCTCTTGCTTGGCGGATCGTCGATTACGCTTAGCACCAGCGATGAAATAAACGTAGTGTTCGTTGACGCGATGATTTATATAAAGTAGGTAGAAAAGTGATAAAAATTCATGTACCTGTGTATTTACGTGTGTGTACGTGCATGTATGTGTGTGTGTGTATGTGTGTGTGTGTGTGCGCGCGCGTGTAAATGACAATGTATTCGCACGATGTCTCGTTTGTGCACGTTTGCGAAAAATAGTTCGATACTTAGCGACCACTCCGCGGTAGGTAAGTTTCATCTATTTCTAAAACGATGGATAGAATCTATCGTTCGTTTCGTCGATGTTTCCCGCGTGATTGATGATCCGTCAAGAAAACGTGATTCGCCTTCGTCTGTACTTTCGATAGCAAGAATAATCGTTACATTGTACAGTGTTAAAATAGTAATAGCGGTAATAATAGTAGTAACAATAGTAACAGTTGTCGCGTCGGGCAGACGCGTCCGCCTTCGGACACATCGTCGAATCACGCGGCCGACCATCCACGCTTCTCTCGAATCGCGTACACTCGCAACAGGGAACCTTTGTCTTAAATTTAATCCTGCACAACGTTCGATCACACGCACACCCGTTCCACGGAGACACTCGAAACTCGTCAGCGTCGAGACTCAGCCTCGAGAACATCGTCTTTGTTCGATCGTCTCGAAGCTAACTGTCGTTCGCGTAACGATAATTCACGCTCGTCGACACACTCGCGAAGATCATGCAAGGATACACGCAACAAGATAGCGAGAGCTACATACGTATACGTACAGAACTAAAGAAGAAAACTTAATCGAATAGTAACGCAACCGCGCATCGGTCTCGAGCGCGATCACGATGAATTGTTCAACGCGAGATTAGCCTTAGGCTCGGTTGGTTCGAAGGTGATTTTAAAAGGGTAGGCTACCGACGAACATCGTCTCGATCAACGGCGGAGCTGGCACCAAATCCTCCAGTTTCAGGTAAAAGATACGCTGGAGTCCTTGCACCGACAGACTCCTCAGTTCCGGTAGTTTACCTAACAGGCGGGACAGGTAATGAGCTTTTCTCTGAGCCTCGGCATTGTAGGTGACGTGATCGCGAAGAGACGAGATTATTTTCATCTGCAGCTGCTCCATGCGATGCGGTTCCTTCAGGCCGTACCTTTCTGTAATGCCAAGCAGAAAAACACACGCGTTTCCGTCAGTCAACCATCAATCCACGGTGCGATTTTTCGATCTCGAGAGCCACTCGAGCGTCATCGTTCGTCACACGAATTACGTTTCCAGATTTCTTTTCGACTCGATCGTGGGCTCGATCGTGCAATCGAATTCATAGGGCGTCGTGACGGGGAAGAAGGGACACGCGCATGCAACGCGCGAACAGGATCGTGTACGAGTATCGCGTGCGACGCACGATCCAACTTCCTTTCGTCGTCGTATCAATAATCGACTAGTTGATTAATCATTCATTTCGCAGACGGCCACGCGTAATGAAGAATCGTCAAACGGAAAAAAGGGAAAATCATTAAATTATATACTTAGTTAGATCGCGGAATATTAAATGGTTCTTCGTGATCCGATCGCACAAAAATATATCATTTCGAAGCTCGAAATCCGACGAAAATTACCTCGTAAACGTTTCATCGGTATTTTCCGATACAAAATGGATAGTTCTTTCTTCGACTAAACAATTACGGTCGCAGCGAATATCCATTGTGCGTCCCAACGAAGAACCGATCGCTCTTGTCAAGAAAATCGACGCAACGTTTGCGTGGTATTTCTCGCGAAATATTCGCCTTCGAATTCGTATACGATATCGCGAGTTATATTATGAAATCGTGAAGAAACGAAACCGTTTAAGCGATAACTTACCGGTAACGAGAGTGAGAGCACACAAGCAGGCGAAAGCGCTAATGTCTACGTCGAGAACATGAAGAGCCCTGCAGAACTCGAGAATGCTGTGAAGCCAATCGCCAAAGCTACGCTGACACTGTTCCAATGCCAGGACCACACCGTTGCAGAACGTTAACTTCGTGTCCTCCGGTTTCGTGCGATACGCCAACCGTAGAACGAACAATTCCAGACTGGCTGATTGGAAAAGTAACTCCTACGAGGCGGAACAACAACGAAAACAACGTTGAACAACCGATCACTGATTAGTTACGAAAGGGTTGTCGACTGCGGGTCGTCCGAGTCACGTTACGATTCGTGTACGAACAACTTTTCTAGCGAGAAAATGTTATTTTCACCGAGGTCTCGAGACTACTAGACAATCGGCCAATCAGACCGTCGATTAGGCATGTCGTAGGTTCGTCAGGGTTGACCTTTTATAAAATGTACAAGCTATCGATCTTTCTTTAACGAGAGCTTCTTCACGGATAACGTCTAGACGCGGATACATAATAATAAATATCTAAAGTGACTCGTATACACTTGCATAACGATACAGCGATTTGGATCGTATTCGAGCGTAAAACATATTGTACGTTCACGAATGAAAACAACAAATTATTTACAGCAAAGTGGTTTTCTTAATTGCCACTTGAAAATATTTACTGCATGCTCGTAGTTGATCATCGACCGTTTACGATCTAGAGAAAAATACTTTACGAACCTGATCCTCTCGCACCAGATCCGTAAAACCGGGAATTTTATCGGCAAAGTTTCGTATCACGTCGATGGAAGTGGTTAAAAGGTTGTAAAACTGTTGGGTCTTTTCCGCTTCCGTGATCGGTGGATCGCCGGGCCTCGGTTGTCGGTACTGCGAATAGTCTAAGCTCGCTTGATCAGGCGTCGTGTCCAAGTGCGCACGCACCAAAGCTGTGATCAGAGAAACTGGCGGGCTGGGAGGCGATTCCTGCGGTGATTTTGGCTTCGAGGGTAATCTACCTCTGCGCCCTTTCAACGAATCTGTCCTAACAACCTGTCGAATAGACGGTATAAATTTTCTCGTCGCGGAGAATCGAACGAAAACGCGTGTATTTCCTTAATCCGCGGTACAGTATCCTACCTCTTTCACCATGCCGACCATCAGGCACTTCTGGAAGCGACAAAATTGGCAACGGTTCCGTCGACGCTTGTCGACGGGGCAAGCTTTCTCGGCGAGACACACGTACTTCGAGCCCTTCTGCACCGTCCTCTTGAAGAAACCCTTGCAACCTTCGCAGGTACGCACACCGTAGTGTTGACAGGCTGCCGTGTCACCGCAAACGGCGCACAATTGACTCGGGCTCGGAGGTGCTCGTTCGTTGCTGGCTCCGCTTCCGGGCGACGGGGAATTGACGGAGCTTCCGGTACTGCCGCTACCGCCACGCGCTTTCGGCGATTCCGTGCTGCCACTACTGTCGTTGGCGAACACAATTTTTGTTTGTTTATCGAAGGTTCGCGTCGCTTTTGCAGCGGAAACAACGATCTATCGATCAATTAATTACCTCGCAGACTCAGACCTCTGCGTGGGCAAGGACGGCCTTCGTGGTTGAGGTGTTCCCACGACGACGCTGTCGACGCTCGGACAAATATCCGTCGGCGCGACGGCGGTGGCACCACCGGTTATGGCC